TCGGGGTTCCCTTGTGCTATTTTTTTTTAAATGTGAAAAAATTTCGGGAACCTGTAGTGTTATTTTCGTCTAAAATGTGAAAGAATATCTAGGGCCTCTCATGTTATTTTCTTCTAAAATTTCAAAGAATCTCGGAGGGCTCTAGTGTACTTTTTTTCCAAAACGGAAAACATGTCGGGGTCCCCTAGTGTTATTTCCTCTATAAAGTGAAGCAATCTCCGGGGCCCATAGTGTTATTTCCTTCTAAAATATGGTAGAATCTCGCGATCTCCTAATGTATTTTTTGATGAGAACTTGAACAATCTCGAAGAACCCCAGTGTTATTTTTTCTATAATGTGAAAGAATCTCGAAAGCCTCTAGTGCTATTTTTTCTAAAAAATGAAAGAATCTCTTGGCTCCTGGTGTTATTTTTTCTAATATATAAAATAATCTGGAGGGGGGGCTAGTGTATTTTTTTTCTAAAATGCGAAACAATGTAAGGATCTCCGAGTAGAATTTTTACTAAAATCTGTAAAATTGTCATAGTCCCCTAGTGTTATTTTTTCCTATAATGTTGAAAAATCTCGGGGGATAACAGTGTTATTTTATTCTAAAATATCATACAGTCTCGAAATCTAATGTATTTTTTTATCAGAAATTTAAAGAATCTCGAGGGTTCCTAGAGTTATTTTCTTCTAAAATGCCAAAGAATGTCGGGGGCCCATAATGTTATTTTTTTCTAAAATGTGGAATAATCTCGGGGGTCTCTAGTGTTATTTTTTCCAAAATGTGAAAAAATCTCGGGATCCCTAGTGTTATTTTCTTCTAAAATGTGAAAGAATCTCGAAGGCACCTAGTGTTATTTTCTTCTAAAAAGTGTAAAAATGTCGTGGGCCCCAAGTGTTATTATTTTTTAATATATAAAAGAATCTCAGGGGCCACTACTGAATTTTTTTCTAAAATGCGAAAGAATTTTAGGGTCGCAAGTGTTATTTTTTTCTATAATATGTAAGAATCTCGGGGGCCCATAGAGTTATCTTTTTCTAAAATGTAAAAAAATCTCAAAAGCCTCTAGTGTTATTTCTTTAAAATGTGAAAGAAACTCGGGGTTCCCTAGTGTTAATTTCTTCTAAAATCTGAAAGAATCCTGAAAGCCTCTAGTGTTAGTTTTTTCTAAAACGTGAAAGAATCTCGAGGGATTCTAGTGATATTTTCTTCTAAAATGCGAAAGAATGCGGAGGTCCCCTAGAGTTATTTTCATCTAAAATGTAAGAGAATCTCGGGGGCCTCTAGTGTTATTTCTTCAAAATGTTAAAGAAACTCGGGATTCCCCAGTATTATTTTCTTCAAAATCTGAAAGAATCCCGAAAGCCTCTAGTGTTGTCTTTTTCTAAAATGTAAAAAAATCTCCGGGGACTCTAGTGTTATTTTCTTCTAAAATCTGAAAGAATCCTGAAAGCCTCTAGTGTTAGTTTTTTCTAAAATGTGAAAGAATCTCGAGGGTTCCTAGTGTTATTTTCTTCTAAAGTGCGAAAGAATGTGGAGGTCTCGTAGTGTTATTTTCATCTAATGTAAGAGAATCTCGGGGGCCCATTGTGTTATTTTTTCTAAAATGTAGAAGAATCTCGGGGGCCTCTAGTGTTATTTTGTCTAAACTGTGAAAGAATCTCGAAAGCCTCTAGTGTTATTTCTTCAAAATGTTAAAGAAACTCGGGGTTCCCCAGTGTTATTTTCTTCAAAATCTGAAAGAATCCCGAAAGCCTCTGGTGTTATCTTTTTCTAATATGTGAAAAAATCTCGGGAGACCATTGTGTTATTTTTTCTCAAGTGTGGAAGAATCTCGGGGGCCTCTAGTGTTATTTCTTCAAAATGTAAGAAAAACTCGGGGTTCCCTAGTGTTATTTTCTTCTAAAACCTGAGAGAATCCTGAAAGCCTCTAGTATTATGTTTTTCTAAAATGTGAAATGTTCTCGAGAGCTCCTAGTGTTATTTTCTTCTAAAATTCGAAAGAAGTTCCCTAGTGTTATTTTCTTCTGAAATGTATAAGAATAACGAGGGGCTCTAGAGTTATTTTTTCTAAAATGTAAGAGAATCTAAGCGCCCCTAGTGTTATTTTGTTCGATAAAGTGAATGAATCTCGGGGTCCGATAGTGTTATTTTGTCTAAAATGCGATAGAATGTCGGGGTCGCCTAGTGTTATTTTTTTCTATAATGTGAAAGAATCTTGGCGGCCAATAGTGTTACTTTCCTCTAAATTATGCTAGAATTTCTGAATGTAATGTATTTTTTGAAGAAAAACTTATGGATTCTGGAGGGTCCTTAGTGTTATTTTCTTCTAAAATGTGAAAGAGTCTCGAAAAGCTCTAGTGTCAGTTTTTCTATAGTGTAAAGGAATCTCGTGAGCTCCTAATGTTATTTTTTTCTAAAAAGCCTCTAGTGTTATTTTTCTAAAATATGAAAGAATCTCGAAAGCCGCAGGTGTTATTTCTTCAAAACGTGAAAGAAACTAGAGGTTCCCTAGTGTTATTTCCTCTAAAATGTGGGAAAATCCCGGGGGTCCCTAGTGTTATTTTTTCTAAAATGTGAAAAAATTCCGGTGCCCCTCGTGTTATTTTCTTCTAAAATGTGAAAGAATAAGAAAGAATCTCGAAAGCCTCTAGTGTTATTTCTTCTTAAATGTGAATGTTTTTCGGGATCTCCTAGTGATATTTTTTCCTATAATGTGAAAACATCTCGAGATCTAATGTATTTTTTTATGAAAAACTTAAGGAATCTCGAAAGTCCCTAGCGTTATTTTCTTCTAAAATCTCAAAGAATCCCGAAAGCCTCTAGAGTAATTTTTTTCTAAAATGTAAAAGAATTTCCAGGACTCCTAGTGTTTTTTTTTCTAAAATATGGAAGAATGCTCGAGTCCCCTAGTGCTATTTTTTCTAAAATGTGAAAGAATCTCGCAGGCCAATAGTGTTATTTTCTTCTGAAATGTGTAAGAATAACGAGGGGCTCTAGAGTTATTTTCTTCTAAAATGTAAGATAATCTCGGCGTCCCTAGTGTTATTTTGTTCGATAAAGTGAAAGAATCTCGGGGTCCGATAGTGTTATTTTGTCTAAAATGCGATAGGTCATCTAGTGTTATTTTTTTCTATAATGTGAAAGAATCTTGGGGGCCAATAGTGTTACTTTCCTCTAAATTATGCTAGAATTTCTTAATCTAATGTGTTTTTTGAAGAAAAACTTATGGATTCTTGAAGGTCCTTAGTGTTATTTTCCTCTAAAAGGTGAAAGAATCTCGAAAAGCTCTAGTGTAATTTTTTCTAAAATGTAAAGGAATCTCGTAAGCTCCTAATGTTATTTTTTTCTAAAACATGAAAGAATCTCGAGGTCCCGTCGTGTTATTTTCTTCTAAAATGTGAAAGAATCCCGAAAGCCTCTAGTGTTATTTTTCTAAAATGTGAAAGAATCTCGAAAGCTTCTAGTGTTATTTCTTCAAATTGTGAAAGTTTTCGGGGTCCCCTAGTGTTATTTTTTCTATAATGTGAAAAAAATCTCGAGATCTAATGTATTTTTTGATGAGAAACTTTAAAGAATCTCGAAAGTCCCAAGTGTTATTTTCTTCTAAAATCTGAAAGAATCTCGAAAGCCTCTAATATTATTTTTTCTAAAATCTGAAACAATCTCGGATACCTCTAGTGTTATTTTCTTCTAAAATATTAAAGAATTTCGAAAGCCTCTAGTGTTATTTCTTCAAAAATGTGAAAGAATCTCGGGGTTCTCAAGTGTTATTTTCATCGAAAATGCAAAAAATCTTGGGGGGGCATAGTGTTATTTTCTTCTAAATTCTGAAAGAATCCCAAAAGCCTCTAGTGTTATTTTTCTAAAATGTGAAAGAATCTCGAAAGCCTCTAGTGTTATTTCTTCAAAATGTGAAAGAAACTCGAGGTTCCCTGGTATTATTTTCTTCTAAAATCTGAAAGAATCCCGAAAGCCTCTAGAGTTATTTTTTTCTAAAATGTAAAAGAATCTCCAGGACTCCTAGTGTTTTTTTTTTTTTTCTAAAATATGGAAGAATGCTCTAAAATGTGAAACAATCTCGGCGGCCTCTAGTGTTATTTTCTTCTAAAATGCAAAAAAATTTCGGGGGCCCATAGTGTTATTTTCTTCTAAATTCTGAAAGAATCCCGAAAGCCTCTAGTGTTATTTTTCTAAAATGTGAAAGAATCTCGAAAGCCTCTAGTGTTATTTCTTCTAAAATGTGAAAGTTTTACGGGGTCCCCTACTGTTATTTTCTTCGATAATGTGAAAAAAATCTCGATATGTAATGTATTTTTTGAAGAAAAACTTATGAAATATCGAGGACCCATAGGGTTATTTTCTTCTAAAATGTGAAAGAATCTTGGGGGCCCATAATATTATTTTTTTTTTAAATGTGAAAAAACCTCGGGAAGCTCTAGTGTTATTTTATTTCTTCCAAAACTCTCTGGGAGGGCTGGTGTATTTTTTTTCTAAAATGCCTAAGAATCTCGAATTATCCTAATTTTTTCGTGTTCCCCTAGTGTCATTTTGTGGCTAATAAAAATTATTTATCCATCCCCACAACACTTTACTGACATTATCTAAAAATGTGTTCAGTTCTCTCTAAATAATTTCAGGCCAATTTTAGCATTTCAAATCTATTAGAAGAGCAATATTTCAGTTTCATTGAGCTTCTTTCTTATTTTGTCAATTTCCAATACAACATCTTCTAGTATATTAATTCTATGTCCTTCTGTTTCAGTAACACCCTATTAGTCATCTTGTTTGTTGTTCTCATTTCTCGCAATTACTTTCCGTCCTTCAATTCCATCCTATAGAATACATTATTAACCTGCCATCTATTTTCGGCATATCATTACATTAGCATAAGTAGTGGAATCCAGCGTCACCATGACGTTACTTCTTCTAAAAATATTTACCGGAAATACCAACACCTCTTAACATCAATTTCCTACAATAACAACCACCAAATAAATCTTCTTCATTCCAGGCGTCATCAAGAAACCAGCCAACATGGACGACATTCTCATAGTCTCCCTCCAATCCAGCGACGCTGCAACCCTCTGGGCCGACTACTTCACCAACTACTTCCAGCAGATCAGCAAAGCGAACAAAAAACCCTTTAAGTAAGTATGGTTGTATGACAGTCATTCGAATACAGCCAGGTTTGCAGAATCCAACACATGCTCCTCGAAAACTGTCTGCTGGAGTCTAAAGAAGACCCGAAGTTGGTGGCGGAGCGGGCCACCAACGTGAAACTGCAACTAGTCGTGGTGTGCCCCAGCTTCTTAGAGTTCGTGGCGGAGCACCCGGAGAAGTGTTCCAATTTGGGGAAGCTGCTCCTGGGGGATAGGACTCTAGCGCTGCTGCTGGGGGTGTCAGACGGCGACTTGACTGATCTCCACAGGAGAAGTAAGGTTAGAAATTGTTAAGACAATAACTAAGAGGGTGTTGTAGTTTTTCCGACGTATTTCCAATGGCAAAGACTGAGCGTGGGGCAGGATCAGGACGAGAACTTCACCAAAGAGTTTCTGGGGCATGCTATGTCCATCTTGTCACGAATATGGAAGCAGCAGACTTCCGGTACTCAAGAAAAGTCGTACTTTTCGGTGTCTCCAAAGAAAATTCGACAAGTAAGTTTCCAGGATTAAATTTCCAAGACTAGACAGAGTTGTCTGCAGGGTCAGAACAGTGTGTTCATCCTGCTTACATACCCGCTCCAGAAGGAAGACATCCTCAAGGTATCCATCGAGCGCAACAACGAGATCTTCGAGGTGAAGACCGTCAAAAGACGCAATCCCTACACGGTTAAGATCTCGGTCCCCAACAATCTCACCGAAGTGACAGCTATTGTAAATATCCTCGTCGAAAAAAATGGAAGCATCGTGGGCAGCCGCCCAATCAAGTGCGAGAGCAGACTCAGAGAGCTTGAACAAATTTTACGCTTAACTAATAATCCGATCGAGTTTATGTGTCAGGTAAAGCTTTGATGTGCATTTTTACGTTTTTAGCGACGGAAATAGGGTGGAAAAGGGATGGTTTTGAAATGTTATGTTGTTACAGACGCTGGGTTTCAACCCCTCGTGCAAGGAGCAGCTGGATAATTGGTTGCTGCAGGCGTTCCAGAAGAATCTACCGGCGCATTTTAACCTTCTTGCAAACCACGAGACGCCATTTGCTGCTGCCGTCCACGCACACAAACACAGTAAAAACACGTCTGCAACATGCGTAGACGCTCGGACTGACTAAGCATGCTTTCAGGTCACGAAGAGCACCCCACTCTTCTGCACTTCGCTGCAAAATTCGGCTTCGAGAAGTTGGCGTTGCAGCTTCTGGACTGTCCAGGGGCGGATATTGCCTACGATATTAAGAATGTGTATGATATGACGCCTGCAGAAATCGCCGAAAGCAACGGCCATCCGGAACTGGCAGCCACCCTCAAGGGGTACATGAACATGAACGAGTTCACCAACATGTACGCAAAGCTCAAAGAAATCAGTCTCAATACGTCCAAAATCGGTAAGGTATACCCAACCACCAAAACGCGTTACCTTCTATGTTCTCCATAGATGAAGATAGTTACATCACCCCCAAAGCAATCGAAGAGTTGTACAAAATATGCCCGCCACCAAGACCCGTGGAAGATCTTTCCTCCCCTACTACCCCCATCAACGAGTACGGCTACATGGCAATGAACCCTCCAGGTACCTACTCAAAATTTTTCGCATCTAGTGTTACAAAATTAATTTTTAGTAAAACTAACCGTCGAGAAAGAACCAAGAACCCCTTCCCCCAAGCCACCAAAAAACCCCACTCTGAAGACTGAAATCCCCCAAATTAACATCGTCTACGAAGACAAAGTCCAGAAGGAGCTTCTCGAAATAATCAACGACTTCAAAAACAACGTCCACTCGATAGCACAAGTCGAAAAGCTGGTCGAGGAGTGGAAGAATAGAAACGATGTCCAAAAATCGTTCAAAGAGAAGCAAGAACAACTCAAGGAAATGCGAATGAAGTACGACAAAATCCAGCAAGAATTGAAGTCGTCGATGAAGAAAGCTACCCCTTTCGATCGGGTGAAAAAACTCTTCACTAGACACAGGTCTCGTGAAGAGAAGCACGAAATTTCGTCGCCGGTTCTCACGTCGCCTAGTATAGTGGCGATTCAGTCGCAGCGACCCATTAGCAGCTTGAGTACTTCTAGTTCTGGGTCGTCTGGGAGAATGAGTACCATTAGTGGGTGTAGTGTGGGGGATAGTGGTACCCACTCCGACAACGAAGACAGAAAGGTACCACCAGCACTTGTCTCTATTTTTACGTTTTCAATTTCCGTCTGTCTGTCTGTCGTCTGTCCGAATTTTTATTAGACAGATAATCTCAGAAAGTACTGGACCGATTGTTGTCAAATTTTATACGTGTGCTAGGAATATCGTTTTAAACAGTATTATAAAATGCGATTAATTTAAAAAAAATCAAAATCGTACAATATTTTGCAATTTAGCTTTGAAACTACAAAATCTTTATTTTAACTTACAAGGGTTATAGTTAAAAATAAAATTCGCAAAATCAAATTTTATCATTTTCGAAAAATCTGGATGTATTTACCTTCGACCATTATTTTGGCATCACAATTTTTCGTTTTTTCTTTTTGTTCGATATTACAATTTTTCACTTTTCGATTTTTGAGTTTCTTAAATTTTAAATTTTCGATTTTTCAATTGTTGATTTTCTCAAATTTTCTCTTTTCATTTTCCCAATTTTATTTCATAGTGTTTCGTTTTCTCATGTTCTTTCATTTTTCAATTTTTCGGTTTCATAATTTGTCGTTTTTTCAAATTTAATTTGTTCAATTTTGCAATTTTTCGATATTACAATTTTTTATTTCTCGATTTTTGAGTTTCTCAATTTTAATTTTTTGTATTCAGTTTTTCGTTTTCTCAATTTTTTTCAAGTTCTTGATTTTTATTTTTCATTTTCCCAATTTTTGTACTTTCATTTTCTCCGATTTTAATCCACATGTTTCGTTTTTCAATGTTTCCTTCGATTTTATAATTTTTAGTTTATTTAATTTTTCAAATTTTTAATCTTCCTTTAATTTATCAATTTTGCCATTTTTGGATTTGCAATTATCCGATTTCTTTAATTTTCAATCGATTTTTCAATTTTCGTTTCTTCAGTTTTTTAATTTTCAGTTTTGTAATTTTTTGATATTACAGTTTTAATTTTTCGGTTTTTTAAATTTTTCCTTTCCTCAGTTTTTCAAGTTCTTGTTTTTTATTTTCCATTTTCCCGATTTTTGTTTTCATTTCCTTTGTTTTTTCAATTTTGCCTTCGCTTTTATAATTTTTGTTTATTCAATTTTCCAAATTTTCAGTTTTTAATTTTCAATCCCTCGATTTTCCGATTGTTAAGTTTTTCAATTTTGCAATTTTTGGGTTCCAATTACCCGATTTTCCGATTTCTTTAATTTTCAATATATCAATTTTACAATACGATTTTTCAGTTATTCGTTTCTTCAATTTTTCCAATTCTTTTTTTCAATTTTTAGATTTTCAATTTTTAATTTTTCGATTTTTCTTTTTTTTTCATTTTCCCGATTTTATTTCATATTGTTTCGTTTCCTCATTTTCTTTCATTTTTCAGTTTTTCGGTGTCATTTCTCGTTTTTTCAAATTTAATTTTTTCAATTTTGCAATTTTTCGATAGTACAGTTTTCCATTTTTGGATTTTTTTTTCGATTTTTGTGTTTCTCAGCTTTTAATTTTTCGATTTTTCTATTTTTCGTTTTCTCAGTTTTTCAGATTCTTGATTTTTATTTTTCATTTTCCCAATTTTTTAATTTTCATTTTCTCACGATATCATAATTTTTGGTTTTTTCATTTCCTTTATTTTTTCAATGTTTCTTGCGATTTAATAACTTTTCGTTTATTCGGTTTTCCAAATTTCCAATCTTTTTTTCAATTTTAAAATTTTTCAATTTTTCAATTTCTCGAGTTCCAAATTTTTCGGTTTTGCAATTTGTTCGATATTACAATTTTTCACTTTTCGATTTTTGAGTTTCTTAACTTTTAATTCTTCGATTTTTCAATTGTTGGTTTTCTCAGTTATTCTATTTTCATTTTCCCGATTTTATTTTATAATGTTTCGTTTTCTCATGTTCTTTCATTTTTAAGTTTTTCGGTTTCATAATTTGTCGATTTTTCAAATTTAATTTGTTCAATTTTGCAATTTTTCGATATTACAATTTTTCATTTTTCGATTTTAGAGTTTCTCAATTTTAATTTTTTGTATTGAGTTTTTCGTTTTCTCAATTTTTGTACTTTCATTTTCTCCGTTTTTATTCCACTGTGTTTCGTTTTGTCATTTCCATTTTTTTATAATTTTTAGTTTATTCAATTTTTCAAATTTTTAATTTTTCAATTTTGCCATTTTTGGAGTTGCAATTATCCGATTTCTTTAATTTTCAATCGATTTTACAATATTTCGATTTTTCAATTTTCGTTTCTTCAGTTTTTTGATTTTCAATTTTGCAATTTTTCGATATTAAAATTTTAATTTTTCGATTCTTTAAATTTTTCCTTTCCTCAGTTTTTCAAATTCTTGTTTTTTATTTTCCATTTTCCCGATTTTTGTTTTTATTTCCTTTGTTTTTTTCCATTTTTCCTTCGCGTTTATAATTTTTGTTTATTCAATTTTCCAAATTCTCAGTCTTTGATTTTCAATACCGCGATTTTCCAATTGTTAAATTTTTCAATTTTACAATTTTTGGGCTCCAATTACCCGATTTCTTTAATTTTCAATATATCAATTTTACAACACGATTTTTCAGTTATTCGTTTCTGCAGTTTTTCAAATTCTTTTTTCCAATTTTTAGATTTTCATTTTATATTATTTCCATTTCTTTTCTCGAAAAGTTGAAAAATCGAAAAACAAAAAAATCGAAAAAAGTGTATGTTTTCAATTTTTCAATTGCTCGACTTCCAAATTTTTCAATTTTTTGTTTCTTCAATTTTGGATTAGCAATTTTTCGATTTTTCAATTTTTAATTTTTCGATTTTTGAGTTTCTCAAATTTTAATTTTTCGATTTTTCTATTTTTCGTTTTCTCGGTTTTTCAGATTGTTGATTTTTATTTTTCATTTTCCCAATTTTTTAATTTTCATTTTCTCACAATATCATAATTTTTGGTTTTTTCATTTCCTTTATTTTTTCAATGTTTCTTCCGATTTAATAATTTTTCGTTTATTCAGTTTTTCAAATTTCCAATCTTTTTTTTTCAATTTTAAAATTTTTCAATTTATCGAGTTCCAAATTTTTCAATTTTGCAATTTGTTCGTTATTACAATTTTTCACTTTTCGATTTTTGAGTTTCTTAACTTTTAATTCTTTGATTTTTCAATTATTGGTTTTCTCAATGTTTCTATTTTCATTTTCAATTATCAATTTTACAATACGAGTTTTCAGTTATTCGTTTCTTTAATTTTTCAAATTCTTTTTTTTTAGTTTTTAGATTTTCATTTTATATTATTTTTGATTTTTCAACTTCACAATTTTTCAGTTTTTCCATTTCTTTTCTCGAAAAGTTGAAAAATCCAAAAACAAAAAAATCGAAAAAAGTGTATGTTTTCAATTTTTCAATTGCTCGACTTCCAAATTTTTTAATTTTTCGATTTTTCAGTTTTTTTTCATTTTCCCGATTTTATTTCATAATGTTTCGTTTCCTCATTTTCTTTCATTTTTAAATTTTTCGGTATCATACTTTGTCGTTTTTCAAATTTAATTTTCTCAATTTTTCAATTTTGCAATTTTTCGATATTAGTTTTTCATTTTTCGATTTTTCTATTTTTCGTTTTCTCAGTTTTTCAGATTCTAGATGTTTATTTTTCATTTTCCCGATTTTTTAATTTTCATTTTCTCACAATACCAAAATTTTTGGTTTTTTCATTTCCTTTATTTTTTCAATGTTTCTTCCGATTTAATAACTTTTCGTTTATTCAGTTTTTCAAATTTCCAATCTTTTTTTCCAATTTTAAAATTTTTCAATTTTACAATTTTTAGAGTTCCAGTTATCCGATTTTCCGACTTCTTTAATTTTCATTTTCCAATTTTACGATTTTGCACCTTGTTTTTCGATTTCCAAATCATTCGATTTTTGAGTTTTTGTTCTTTCAATTTTCCAAATTTTTGATTTCTGATTTTTGGATTTTTCAAACTCTTCATTTTATACTTTTACGCTTTTGAAAAATCGAAAAACTGAAAGAAAGAAAAATCCAAAATCGAAAATTTTAAAAATTCGAGAAAATGCAAATAAAGATGTAGAAAATCTAAAAACTGCAAATCAAACAATTGAAACCAAAAAAAAACCTTGAAAAACTAAAAATCAAAAATAGAAAAAAAATTATTCTAAATATTAGAAAGAAAAAAAAAACGAAAAATTATAGAATAGTCAAAATTGAAAAGTCGAAAAAGTCGAGAAACTGAAAATTCTAAAACTGATAAAACGAAAAATTCAAAAATGTAAAACTTCAAAAATCAAAAAATCGAAAACTGAAAAATTACAAAGGAAAAACTTGATAAATCCAAAAACTGAAAAAATAAAGAAAACGAAAAACCAAAACGAAAAATTGCATACCTAAGAACTGAATAAACGAAAAATGGAAAAAACAAAAATTTATAAAATCGAAAAATTGAAGAAGCAAAAAATTAAGGATTCTAAAAAATTGAAAACAGAAAAATAGCAATTCGAAAAATTTAAATAATCCAAAGATTGAACAATTTCACATTGGAAAAAGAAAAATTATAAAATCAGAACATTGAAAAGCCAAAAAATCTAAAAAATAAAGAAAACAAAAAACCGAAACGGACAATCCAAATCAAAAATTTTAGGAAGTGAAAAATAAAGACTTGAAAAACTGAAAAATTAAGAACTGAAAACTCGAGAAATTTTTAATCAAAAAATTGCAAATCAAAAAACTGAAAAATCCAAAATTTGAAAAATTTCACTTGAAAAAAGAAAAATTATCAAATCAGAACATTGAAAAAAGTAATAATTTAAAAAATAGAGAAAATAAAAAACCGAAACGAGAAATTGCAAATCGAAAATTTGAAGAAATGAAAAATTGGAAAATCAAAAAATTCAAAATTAATAAAAACTGAAAACTCGTGAAATTGCAAAATCTAAAAATTGAAAGGGGTTGGAAAATCGAAAAACTGAAAAATGTAAAAATGAAAACTCATTGTGTTGCATGTCGTAACATTGAAAAACAAAAAAAAGAAAAATTGAAATTGAAAAAACGAAAAATTATAAAATCGGAACATTGAAAATCGGAAAACGGAAAACTCGAATAAAAAAAATCAGTTTTCCAATAATTGAAAAATGGAGAAGTTCTCATATAATTCTAAAAATTTAAAATGAAAAATACAAAATTTGCAAACCAAAAATTGAAAAAGCGAAAAATTAAAGAATCTAAAAAATTGAAAACAAAAATTGCAAATCGAAAAATTTAAATAATCCAAAAATTTAATAATTTCACATTAAAAAAATATAAAAATCAGAACAATGAAAAAAAAATCGAAAAAATAAAGAAAACAAAAAACCGAAACGAACAATTATTGGAAATAAAAAATTTTAAGAAGTGAAAAATAAAGAATAGAATAATTATAAACCAAAAAATTTAAAAACAATTGCAAATCAAAAATTTTAAGAACTGAAAAATAAAGTATCGAAAAATGGAAAAAATTACAAATTAAAGAAACAAAAAAATTAAAAATTGACAAATCGCAAATCGAAAAATTGAAGAAACAAAAAAACATTGAAAAACTAAAAATCAAAAATAGAAAAAAAAAAATTCTAAATATTAGAAAGAAAGAAAAATTATAGAATAGTCAAAATTGAAAAGTCGAAAAACTGTAACATTGAAAAATCGAGAAGCTGAAAATTCTAAAACTGATAAAACGAAAAATTCAAAAATCTAAAACTTCAAAAATCAAAAAATCGAAAATGAAAAATTACAAACGAAAACTTGAAAAATCCAAAAACTGAAAAAATAAAGAAAACGAAAAATTGCATATCTAAGAACTGAATAAACGAAAAATTGAAAAAACAAAAATTTATTAAATAGGAACTTTGAAAAATCGAAAAATAAAAATCGAAAAATTGAAGAAGCAAAAAATTGAAAACAGAAAAATTGCAATTCGAAAAATTTAAATAATCCAAAAATTGAATAATTTCACATTGAAAAAAAGAAAAATTATAAAATCAGAACATTGAAAAGCCGAAAAATCTAAAAAATAAAGAAAACAAAAAACCGAAACGAACAATCGAAAGCAAAAAGTTTAAGAAGTGAAAAATAAAAACATTAAAAACTGAAAAAATTGGAAATCAAAAAACAATAATCCAAAAATTGAAAACTTTCACACTGAAAAAAGAAAAATTAAACAAAACAATTGAAAAAATAAAGAAAATAAAAACCGAAACGAGAAATTGCAAATCGAAAAATTGAAATGAAAAATTTGAAAATCAAAAAATTTCAAAATTAATAAAAACTGAAACTCGTGAAATTGCAAAATCTAAAAATTGAAAAATTCAAAATTAAACAGTTGAAAACCAATTTTTTCCAATTTCTGCTTGCAGAACATGCTAGGAAGCCACAACGAAGACGACTTCCGCAACGTGATGAACAAAGCGGCCTTGGAAATGAACTACACCCCAGTCCCCGCCCCCAAACCGGTCAAAACCGGAATGTTCGTCAATCGGACGCACTTATTTGAAACGATTGAGGTAAGCCACGCCCACGCTCATGCACACAGATTCTCATTGGCGCCTCTTTCAGGAGAAGCCAGTGGCGCGGCCGGACACCCTTCCCGTTTCCGAAGAGTATTACATTCAGTTCCCCCCCTCCGGACTACCAGTGGCGGGTACGTCGACGTTCTATATCTCCTCCAAGTTACTTATTTTTAATTTCTAGGCGCTACAAACGAAAATGAGCAACAATACATGAACGTGAGTGCAGTAACGAGTGAAGATGACCACGAATACATGAATTTTAAGGTTATGACCAAGAGATAGGGTTACTTGATGTAATTTCATTATGTCATTTTTTATTTATAACATAATATTTATGTGAAGTCCATTAGGTATTTATTTATTCGGTTTTTGTTATATTATGCTTCATTTGTATGTTGTTTAAATTTATATTTTGTACATTTTTGATATGGAATAAATTTTTAGGTAATGTGATGAGGTGTTTAGTTGTTTGTAAAAAAATCGCCACAGGTGCAAATCTTGTTTTTGTGAAATGAGAACACGCGAAACTGGTTTTTATGCAATTATGTGGCAACACGATTATTCATCATAGTTAATTCGCGACGAGAATATTTTAATTAACCACTTTTCCTCGCTTTCCGTCTCTATTTCCTTTGGGTTAAACAATGGAAAATGAAATGCACTACTATATTAATTAGACAGAATAAACCACAACTTTAATGACACTACGTGGTGGAAAAATAATCTTAAATTAGTGCCACAGGCAAGGATAATAATGCAATCATAAATAGTCGGTCAAGAGAAACCCAACTTAGTTTCTTTCGTGACTTCTGACAATCAAAATGGGTACTTCTGCAAGCCAACTTTTCCAAAATATCTATAACTCTTTGGTGTTTTAGATCTCAAAATCGTGGTTTTGATGGTGGTTATTGGTACCACAGTGGCACTCAGCAGTAAGTACCTTGATTACAGTACCCACCACTTCATAATAATGACCCATAGCAAGCAACTGCCCCACCCCCACCCGCATAGCAAGCTGTAGCCCCAAGTGCAAAGACAACAGCAACTGTCAAGGAGCCAAGGTTTGTTGTACCAATATATGTGGTACCAAATCGTGCACCGACATCTACCAGTACCAAAACGGCGACAAAAACGACAAATACGGCTCATCTAGTAAGCGTAGGTAGAAAATTTCGGAAAAAATTGTAACTACATATTTTTGCCAGAGGGCGCCACTGGAACGTACTGCGGCAACGTCAAATGCAGCGCCGGCGAAAAGTGCGAACTGGACAGAACCACAAAAAGACAAAAATGCGTCAGGGGTTAAGGAAAACTGACACTTATATTTGTATCACCAGTTTTGATAGTTTTTTAAATACAGTCGGTGAACTTTGTTTAGTTTTATTATTGTATTTTGTAGACGTCTAATCTAATTAATTAATTATTTTGTTGACATTTAATTAAGTGTGAGACACCCAGTATATTGTCACTTATAACTAATGACAATTATGACTAATGGGATCCCGGATTCGATTTAGACGGTAAATAAAAAAAAAACAGACGTAGAATGCGGATGCAATAAAGTCACTTTTGCTTGAAACACCACTTGAACTTGTAATTGTTTAGTTAATCGGTTTTACAATTATTAGTTTTGTTGACATTCGGACCGGCGGTCATTATAACTAATGGGACAAACCCACCCGAGTCAATTTTCACACACAAAAAAAAACAAAATTAGGAGAGAAAAACAAGTCGTGAGTGTAACACAACCAGACCCACGTGCAGCCCCCACGATTTAATACTTTTAAACCTTAATCATTTCCGCACCCTAACCTAACTGTCACTTGTCATTTTGACACTTGACCTCGACCACAATTTTCCGCATTTCCACCAAAAAACCCAAACAAAGCGTGTTTGTATAATGCCCACGTCCCCTTCCACACCGTAAACGTACTCCCAAAAAATCCTTGCCCCAAAAATGCCCATCCTCTGATCGCCCATCATGGTAGTTGTACTCGTAGTAAACAAACTCAAACACTTAATTCTGTTCTTCGTAAGCATCTTCAGACGCGCTTTGTGTTGTTTCCGGCGCCGCCGCCGCGTCTCCGTGGACGCCGTCCCCTTGACCCATGTGGGCGTCGTCGCCAACCATGGAGACCCCGAGGACTGGACATGGGAAGACAAGCCGGGCTACAGCGAACCCAAGACCGTGCAGGACCACATCGAGCTATACAGGAAGCGAAAAAGCGAGAAAACCGAGCTCCAACAACAACAAGAGGAAGTGCCTATGGATTTTTTCGAAAACATGGCCCCAAAAATCACCAGACAGACGAAAGTTTACATTAGCGAGGAGCACGGGGAGAGCAAGGGGGCGAATCGGCTGAATGTGGTAGAAACTGTGCCTGTGGTAGGTTCCGGGTGTGTTTTGATGGGTTGCTGATGGTTTGTTTGCAGGAAACGGGGGAGTTGAGGGAGTGGGAGGAGAGCTCTGGGTGGGAAGGGGAGACGCTGGATTGGGACGCCCAGGAGGCGCTGCGGGAGAAGAAGCGACGGGATAGGGAGAGGAGGTTATGGGAGCAGCAGCAGAAGAGACAGGAGAAGGGGGGGAGGTCTTTGGGGGCGAAAGTTAGCACGTAACGTTTAGTTAAGCCAAAGGGGTGTTTTAATAGTCTTCAAGTCATTCCTGTGAAGATATTTTCGTGAATAAATTCGAATGTTTCAAGTTTTGTGTGGTTTTTGAATTTGGCGCCGGATTGAGTGGGCGGGGCTTGGGTTTAAGATTGTGGGCGGGGTTTATACACTTTATACATTTAACCTACACCAATCAAGTTGTTTATTAGATACAATAGAAGTGTGTGTAGATTGACTTAATTTGGAAAATCGGGCACTTGGCAGATTGTCCCTCAGTTTTTCGATATTTCTTTTTCAATTTTTCGAATTTTTTCAGCTTGATTTTTCATTTTTTTGATTTTTTTTAATTTTTAGTATGTATTCGATTTTTCGATTTCTCGTTTTTTTTTTTTTTTAATTTTACGACTGTTCGGCTTTTCGACATTTTGTTTTTCCAATTTTTCGATGTTCGGGTTTTTAAACTTTGCATTTTTCCATTTTTCAACTTTTCGAATTTTTGACTTCTCAACTTTTGGATTTTCGATCTTTTGATGTTTCGTTTCTCGATGTTTCAATTTTCCAGTTTTTGGATTCTTCAATTTCTCGGTTTTTCAATTTTTAAATTTTAGTTTTTTCAATTTTTCGATAGCTCGTTGTTTCGATTTCTCGATTATTCAGTTTTTCAATTTTGATTTTTCATTTTTTCGATTTTTTAAATTTTAGTTTCCGATTTTTCTAATTCTCGTTTTTTTTTTAATTTTAGGACTGTTCGGCTTTTCGATTTTTCGCTTTTCCAATTTTTCGATGTTCCGATTTTTGAAATTTTGGATTTTTCGGTATATCTCGGTTTTTCGATTGTTCAATTATTCTATTGATAAATTTCACTTTCTTCAATTTTTACGAATTTTTTATTTTTATTATTGATTTTCCAATTTTTCGGTTTTTTTATTTTAATTTCGATTTTTCAATTTTTCGATTTGACGATTTTTTTTATTGGATTTCTTGACTTCTCGATTTTAATAATTTTCCGACTTTTCGATTTTTAGATGTCTCAGTGTTTCGAGTTTTCCATTTCTCAATTTTTCAGAATTTCAATTTTCGGGATTTTTCAATTTCTGGATTTTTCGATATGCTAATTTTCCGATTTTTCAATTATTCCATTTTGCAGATTTTCGATTTTTTAGTTTCTCGGGTTTTCAACTTTTCGACTGTTCGATTTTTCAATTTTTTGATTTCTACATTTTTCGATTTTTAAAGTTTAGTTTTTTCAATTTTTCGATAGTTCGATGTTTCAATTCTTCGATTCTTCTGTTTTTAGATTTTAATTTTTCAATTTTTAGAGTTTTATATTTTTCGATTTCCCGATTTTTCAATTTTTCAGTTTGATTTTTCATTTTTTCGATATTTTTAAATTTCAGTTTTTGTTTTTTCGATGTCCCGTTTTGTTTTTTTTTAATTTACGACTGTTCAGCTTTTCGATTTTTCTTTTTTCCAATTTTTCGATGGTCGGATTTTCCAAATTTTCGATTTTTGAAATTTTGAATTTTTCGATATCTCGGTTTTTCGATTGTTCAATTTTTCTATTGTTAAATTTCGCTTTATGCAGATTTTCGAATTTTTTATTCTTCAGTGTATTGATTTTTTAATTTTAGTTTTCGATTTTTCAATTTGACGATTTTTTAAATCAATTTTTTGGTGTCTCAATGCTTCAAGTTTTCCATTTCTCAATTTTTCCGCATCTCTATTTCGGGATATTTCAATTTTTGGATTTTTAAAATTTTGAATTTTCCGATTAGTTGGTTTTTATATTTTTTTATTTTTAAATTTTTTGAGTTCTAAATTTTGTTTTTTTTAAATTTCCGGATTTCAGTTTGTCGATTTTGCAATTTTTTGAAATTTCGATTTCCCAATTTTTCGATTTTTTGACTTCTCGACTTTTGGATTTCTCGATCTTTTAATGTTTCAGTTTTACAACTTTTCGATCTTTCGATTTCTCATTTTTGTAAATTTTACGATTGTTCGGTTTTTCGATTTTTTTATTTTTCAGTGTATTGATTTTCCAATTTTTCGATTTTTTAAAATGTAGTTTCCGATTTTGAATTTCTCGATTTAACGCTTTTTAGATTTAATTTCTTGACTTCTCGGTTTCTCAATTTTAATAATTTTTCGACTTTTCGAGTTTTCAATTTTTCGATTCTTAAAAGTTTTTATTTTTCAATTCTTCGATTTCTTGAGATTTCGACGTCTCGATTTTTCATTTGTTCAATTTTCCGAATTTTCGATGTATCGATTTTAAGCTATTTATACTTTTTCGATTTTTTGATTTCTCGACTAATTAAATTTTGGATATTTTGATATGTCGGTTTTTCGATTTTTCAATTTTTTTGAAATTCTAGTTTTTGATTTTTCAATTTTTCGATTTAACGCTTTTTTGATTCAATTTCCTGACTTCTCGGTTTCTCAATTTTAATAATTTTTCGACTTTTCGAGCTTTCAATCTTTCGAATTTTTAAATTTTAGTTTTTTCAATTTTTCGGATTTAGATATTTCTGTTTTTCAATTTTTAGATTCTTAAAATTTTTGATTTTTCAATTTTTCGATTTCTTGAGATTTCGACCTCTCGATATTTCAATTGTTCAATTTTCCGAATTTTCGATGTATCGAATTTAAGCTATTTTGATTTTTCAATTTTCCGATTTTTTGATTTCTCGAGTTCTTAAATTTTGGATTTTTTGATATCTCGGTTTTTCGATTTTTCCATTTTTTTTTTAAATTCTAGTTTTTGATTTTTGATTTTTCGATTTAACGCTTTTTTGGTTCAATGTCTTGACTTCTCGGTTTCTCAATTTTAATAATTTTTCGACTTTTCGAGCTTTCAATCTTTCGATTTTTTAAATTTTAGTCTTTTCAATTTTTGGGATTTAGATATTTCTGTTTTTCATTTTTTGATTCTTAAAATTTTTGATTTTTCAATTCTTCGATTTCTTGAGATTTCGACGTCTCGATTTTTCAGTTCAATTTTCCGAATTTTCGATGTATCGATTTTAAGAGATTTTGCTTTATCAATTTTTCAATTTTTTGATTTCTCTACTACTTAAATTTTGGATTTTTTGATATCTCGGTTTTTCGGTTTTTCAATTTTTTTTTTAAATCTACTTTTTGATTTTTAAATTTTTCGATTTAACGCTTTTTTGATTCAATTTCTTGACTTCTCGGTTTCTCAATTTTAATAATTTTTGACTTTTCGAGCTTTCAATCTTTCAGTTTTTTAAATTTTAGTTTTTTTCAATTTTTTGGATTTAGATATTTCTGTTTTTCAATTTTTAGATTCTTAAAAATTTTGTTTTTTCATTTCTTCGATTTCTTGAGATTTCGACCTCTCGATTTTTCAATTGTTCAATTTTCCGAATTTTCGATGTATCGATTTTAAGCTAATTTTGATTTATCAATTTTCCGATTTTTTGATTTCTCGACTTCTTAAATTTTGGATTTTTGGATATCTCGGTTTTTCGATTTTTTATTTTTTTTTTAAATTCTAGTTTTTGATTTTTGAATTTTTCGATTTAACGCTTTTTGATTCAATTTCTTGACTTCTCGGTTTCCCAATTTTAATAATTTTTCGAATTTTCGAGCTTTCAATCTTTCTATTTTTTTTTTTTTTGATTTCAGTTTTTCCAATATTTCGGATTTAGATATTTCTGTTTTTCAATTTTTAGATTCTTAAAATTTTTGATTTTTCAATTTTTCAATTTCTTGAGATTTCGACCTCTCGATTTTTCAATTGTTCATTTTTCCGAGTTTTCGATGTATCGATTTTAAGCTATTTTGATTTATTAATTTTTCGATTTTTTGATTTCTCGACTTCTTAAATTTTGGATTTTTTGATATCTCGGCTTTTCGACTTTTCAATTTTTTTTTAAATTCTAGGTTTTGATTTTTGAATTTTTCCATTTAACGCTTTTTTGATTCAATTTCTTGACTTCCCGGTTTCTCAATTTTAATAATTTTTCGACTTTTCGAGTTTTCAATCTTTCGATTTTTTAAATTTTAGTTTTTTCAATTTTTCGGATTTAGATTCTTAAAATTATTGATTTTTCAATTCTTCGATTTCTTGAGATTTCGACCTCTCGATTTTTCAATTGTTCATTTTTCCGAATTTTCGATGTATCGATTTTAAGCTATTTTGATTTCTCAATTTTTCGATTTTTTGATTACTCGACTTCTTAAATTTTGGATTTTTTGATATCTCGGTTTTTCGATTTTTCAATTTTTTTTAAATTCTAGTTTTTGGCTTTTGAATTTTTCGATTTAACGCATTTTTGATTCAATTTCTTGACTTCTCGGTTTCTCAGTTTTAATGATTTTCGAGCTTTCAATCTTTCGATTTTTTAAATTTTAGTTTTTTCAATTTTTCGATTCTTAAAATTTTTTAATTTTTAATTCTTCGATTTCTTGAGATTTCGACCTCTCGATTTTTCAATTGTTCAATTTTCCGAATTTTCGATGTATCGATTTTAAGCTAATTTTGATTTATCAATTTTCCGATTTTTTGATTTATCGACTTCTTAAATTTTGGATTTTTTGATATCTCGGTTTTTCGATTTTTTATTTTTTTTTTAAATTCTAGTTTTTGATTTTTGAATTTTTCGATTTAACGCTTTTTGATTCAATTTCTTGACTTCTCGGTTTCCCAATTTTAATAATTTTTCGAATTTTCGAGCTTTCAATCTTTCTATTTTTTTTTTTTTTTGATTTCAGTTTTTCCAATATTTCGGATTTAGATATTTCTGTTTTTCAATTTTTAGATTCTTAAAATTTTTGATTTTTCAATTTTTCAATTTCTTGAGATTTCGACCTCTCGATTTTTCAATTGTTCATTTTTCCGAGTTTTCGATGTATCGATTTTAAGCTATTTTGATTTATCAATTTTTCGATTTTTTGATTTCTCGACTTCTTAAATTTTGGATTTTTTGATATCTCGGCTTTTCGACTTTTCAATTTTTTTTTAAATTCTAGGTTTTGATTTTTGAATTTTTCCATTTAACGCTTTTTTGATTCAATTTCTTGACTTCCCGGTTTCTCAATTTTAAATAAATAAATAAATAAATAAATACGTTTATTGCCCAACAGATCTCTCCAATTACAGGACAACTATATCTAAATTAAATAAGTAAAATAAGTAAAATTAAATTAAATTAAATTAAATTAAATTAGATTAAATTCGATTAAATGAACATTTCTGAAACTATATACATATATATTGCATGCAAGTTATCTAATCTGAAAACAAGCTCTAAATTACTGACAATTACTAACAATTTTTTCATCAATTAATTAAGTAATTATAATTTATAAAACCCCTTTAAATATTGTATTACATTTTTTATTTATAGAGCCTAACTTTTCAACATATATATCACACTGTTCACAAATCGCATTACAATTTTTACAAGCAATATATATCGGTGATTTCAACATTAAATTAGTTCGACATCGGGGTAATTGAAAATAGATTGAAAAACGAGAATTTTGCCGAGGAACAATAAAACTTATGTGGTTCAAAGTTGTCATATCATCAATTACGCCATGAATTAATTTATGAATAAATGCTATTGATTGCATAATTCTTCGTTGCCTTAAAGATTGTATATCAAATTGTATTAATAATTGGTTTTGATCAATATGATGCACGGGATATTGAGAGTAAATTTGATAATGCAAAAATTTTAGGAATCGTCTCTGTACATTTTCCAACAATGTAGATTGATAAGCATAATATGGAAAAAATATTAGTGAACAATATTCCAGTTTCGACCGTACTATTGCGTAATATAAACATTTTAATGCAATTATGTTATTAAAAGATTTACAGTTGCGGATTATAAAACCGAGAACTTTAAGTGCGGAAGTAACAATTTTATCTACATGCTCTTTAAAGCTAAGTTTGCTATCAAAAACCACACCCAAATCTTTGACTGTCCTAGAACGCGATATAACTCTGTCATTTATAATGTAATCATGCTGAAGTTGCAAGTTCTTCTTACTAAATGACACCACCAAGCATTTATCCTTATTTAGAAGAAGGCCATTTTGTTCTCCCCACTTTAAAACCTTGTCAATATCATCTTGTAGTAGTTTTACATCTTCATATGTTGTAATAGTTCTATAGATTTTCAAATCATCAGCAAACAGTGCACACTCAGAGTGTTTTACAACATCAACAACATCATTTATATAAAGCAAAAATAGCAGTGGCCCTAAGTTTGAGCCTTGAGGTATTCCTGATGTTTGGACGTAAAATTTTGACATGTATCCGTTGTAAAGCACCCTGAGTTTTCTTTCATGCAAATATGATGTAAATAATGATATCATTGCGTCAGAGAAGCCAAAGTCTTGAAGTTTCTTTATTAAAATCTTATGAACAATCCGATCAAATGCTTTTGCTATGTCAGTGTAAATAACGTCCACTTGTTTCCCCATGTCAACATTTTCAGATAAGTATTGTGTCACAGCCAAGAGATTTGTCAAAGTGGATCGGCCTCTCATGAATGCATGTTGTTTAATAGTAATATTGTTCTTAACTATGGGATAGATATGATCATAAAGTATACTTTCCAGCAGTTTAGCAAAATTCGATAGAATTGAAATGGGACGATAGTTTACAACGTCTGAATTGACTCCTCCTTTGTGCACCGGATATACCCGTGATTCCTTCCAAACAGAAGGAAATACACCTGTTGATATGCACGAATTAAATATGGACCGCAGGGGCTGCACTAATATGGGCATACAATCTTTCAAGAAAAATGCAGGTATGCCATCGAGTCCGGAGCAACAATTTGATTTCATACGTTTCATAGCTTTAAAAATGTCATCCTCAGTAATTACAGCTACATGCACATGGGTGTTATGTGGGGATTTCATTTGGTCCGCAATATACGTATACTTATTTGCACTACTAAAAACCGAAAAGAAATACTCGCCAAACTGGTTCACAATATCTTGGGGTTTTTGATATTCATTACTGTTACGTATAATTCTACTTGGTATTGCAGTATGATTTTTCCGGTCCCTAACAAAATTCCAAAAATTTTTAGGATCACTTGTAACACTTGATTGAACAACATTAAGATAAGCCTGATAGTCTCTACGAATTTGAAATTTTGATACACGCCTGAATTCCTCAAATTTTTGACGATCAATTTGAAGTTTGGTTTTCTTAAATTTACGAAAATAGAAATTTTTTTGTTTAATATTCTGCTTGAGTTCAGCTGTAAACCATTTAGGGAATTTGTTATTACTTCCTCTGTATGTAGGGACATACTCATCCATTAGTGAATATAGTTTATCATAAAATGCAGCACATTTGTCATTTACATTCGTATGATTTCTTAAGAAATCCCAATTCACCTTTGATATTTGATCATAGAGATTACAAAAATCAGCTTTTTTGAAATTGTACATATTAAACTTATCGGAATATGGGAAATTTACAAACAACTCTTTATTAAATATTACTTGTATTGATAACGGTGGATGATGCATATCTATTTTACTTAAAGGTTGACTATCTTCTGTTATAACCACGCTAATATCTCTAACAAGTACAAGATCAAGAAGTCTATTATTCATGTTCATAACGTCATTACACTGTACTAGACCTAGATACGACATAAACTTAAGTAGTAATTGACTTTTACTATCATCCATCTCCTGACTGGCAAATTTCGGTACATTAAAGTCACCTGTTATTATTATATTATTAAAATGAACAAGCTTTTGCTCAAGAAAATCGAGTAGTTTTTCAAATACAGTAATCGATATATCAGGAGGTACATATAAATTCAGAATAAGTATATTAAAAGCGACAGAAATTAATTTACAACTACTTACATCAATAAGTTTCAAATGTAAAGGTAACTGAAGGTCAATTGTTTCAAAATTAAATTTTTTATTTATAGCAATTAATGAGCCGCCACCTCTAGATCGACCAGTATAGTTTGTATCTCTGTCAGAGCGTACTACATGATAGGATGAAGAAAAAAGTTCACCATTAGAAACACCAGAGTCCAGCCAAGTTTCAGTCAAACAAATAATGTCAAAATGATCATCACATGTGTTAGGGTAAAAGTAGTCTATTTTAGTTTTTAGCCCCCGGACATTTTGATAATAAATCAACAGATCTGATAACGATCTATTTGATACAGACACATCATTGATTTCAGGTTCAACAGTATATTCTATCTCACAGAAATCCGACAATTCATGAGGTGTACGAAGTGTACTTAGCAAGGGTTTAATTAGTCACGAAGACCCATGGACCGTAGATAAAGTTTTTGGGGTATCTATATCAATTGTTAGATTGAACAGATCATGTTTCAGCTTGGCGTTAGCAGACTTATATGCAAAACAGTTCTTATAATCCCAAACTGCATGGGAAGCATCAATATCATAATGTTGAGAATTCCGAAGATGAAGACAATTGGAACAGCATAAATCCTTATTCTTATCAGCTGCGCAGTTCTTAATTTCATGAGATTTAGAGCACAAGGGACAAGACTGATCTTTTTTACATTGTTTAGCACCATGGTTATACCCATTGCACCTAAAGCATCTTAAAACTGTTACAGCATCAAATACGCTACAACCATTCAGACCTATAAGAAGATGTCCAGAGTCAAGAAGTTTTTTATACGATTCAAGGTCCACAAGACATTCAGCTTGTAATTTATCTTTAGATTTAGCAGTAGAATATATTTTTTGAACTTGACATATAGATTTTTCTGTAAAAAGATGTGGATTTTGAGTTAAAGCATAATTAGATATTTCATCTTTATCAAGACCCTCCGGAATGTCAACGATACGTACACGAGGAAGAATAGTGGCAGTCTTTTTTATGCTGTAATTATCAGAGAGTTTATTGTCAGCGATGGAAACCAGCTTTTCACTTTGATGTTTATTAGCGCAGTGAATTACTAAGCCTCCACTAGAGACAGGTTTCACTTTGTTTATTTCAATATCTGAAGTAAGCGGCTTAATGGTTTGCAAAACATCCGACTTCGTTTGTTTTAAAGATTGAGCTGCGTTCTTAGGTTTAATTATTACACTTGATTCCGAGGTGTTTTTTAATTTATCAGCATAGGTCAAACGATCAACATTTAAGTTAGTATTGCTGTTGATAGAATGAGTAATTGAGTCTAATTTTGATCGTATGGGGTCAAGCTCATGTGAAATAATGCTACGTATATACTTAAACAATGGATTTTTCTCTGTATTAGATGAGTCTTCCGAAGGAGAAAGAGGTGGAGAATTAAAAATCTCAATGCAAGATACACAAAGTAATTTAAGATGGTGTGAACGAAGGTGAATTCGGCTAAAAATAAGAGCTTCTTCAGGATTTATACCAATGCAATTATAATGAGAACGGGACTTACAAACGTCACAAGCCACTGATCATAGATAATATAATAATAATATTTGTAATAGATAGGCAACTCCTTATACTGACAAAAGGACAGAGAAAGCAGCGGCCTCTGGTGGGCTGTTCCCCAACAAAACCAGGGTTACAGCCTGCTGGGTTTTTATTTTAATTTTTGTTCCACATAATTTTTTTAATAAAACAACATGCATATTTCAGAAAATTAGCTTTAATTTTTTTAATTACAGAATTTATATGTATAATGTTCAACAATGTTCAATGTTTACTCACTTTTTTTTTCTTTTTTCGTAATATTTCTTGGCTGCGATATATATGGCGTCGTGGTTTCGATGGCGGTTTCGTTCATCTTTGCCACTGAGAACTTTATTAATACCAGCGGCCCAATTATAACAAACTAACTCTGTGAATTTTGATATTAGAAATTCTTTGATGTCCCACATATGTTCACAATTATCGTTAAATTCGAAGTTCACATTCATTTTCACAGAATTTTTCAATATTTCATATCCAGATTTTTTGAAGCAATATTTTGGTGTTAGTTTTTGTAGCACGTGATAACAAGAACTTAAACCTATAATAAGCTTCGGAGTACAATATTTCAATTGATTGGGAACCGAATCTTTAAATTCTTTCGCAACAACCAGATCATGCCACTCATTTTTGTTTACTGTTGTTAAATTTTTTTCGCATTTTATGCATGTTTCTATTCCTTTCAATTGTTTAACAACAAAACCACTTACGTAGCCCATGCTAATTTTATCTATATAAGAAAATTCCGGTCCCGGGTTAATCAATAAATTTTCGTCAATTGTTTCTATTTCTTCGGTTTCGTCATCTTCAGATAGGCCTTGCGTTATAAATTGTCTGACGGACGTTAGAATTTCTTCGGAATTATCAATTTCACAATTTGCAGAAATAGAATGAGTGGTAGTTAAATTATTAAATAAAAGAGTTTTAAAATGATTTTTAAATTGGGTAACCGTAGGATTTGTATTTCGAGCTCCTTGTTGACGAATTTGGCCGAAAAAATTTTCTAACGGGTCTTGATTGAAAACCCGAGGCTTAAAAAACGTTAAACCATTACTTTTCAAAATTTTGAAAATTTCTTCGAATCCATTTAAGGTGATTTCCCAATTTTTTAAACTTGGCGGGATAAACTTTTTGCCTCCTTTCTCAAAATGCATATTTCGTAGATTATTTCTCGCGCATTGCCAGAACTTTAAATGTTTGGATCGTTCTGTTACTGCACATCTCAAAAAATTCCTTTTCATGGGCTTTAACACCCTTCCGTTTACACTATCAAACAATTTGTTAAAAAAACTAAGGACCTTAGAAGTGCCAATCGCTTCCTCGTCTAAGCCACTGTCTCCAATTTTTGTCATTAGTCCCAGAACCGATGCAACTGTATGGCTAAAAACTTGTGCAGCACATGAGACCTTCATTTTCCTAATTTTTTTGGGATTAACATGACCCTCGGTAAGTTTTGGCATAGCACGTAGATCGGTCGAACACTTGTCTAGTTGGTATGCTTTCTGGATGTCTGACCATTGCGCACTTAATGGTTCTTTGTCTTGTATTTTCCAAATTAGTTTATATTTTAAGACATTATTGCGAATTCCTTTAAGAAGATGCGGAGGATCATATATGTGGATTATTTTCTGCTCGTTAATTTTAAAAAATTTGATTTTGTCTCCAATTTGAACATTAGTTCCAATAGAAGATTTCATTAAAAAATTAATCACTGCCTGATTATTCGTCCCTTGGTCACTTACTGAGGCTATAATTTTTAATCCTGCGTCTTGACATTGTTTTACAACTTGTTTAATTATTCTCGCCAAATCTATTGTTTTCACCGGACCGCTGGAGAAGGTGTACAGAAGGGGCTGTTTCCATTCCCTTTTTATACCCTTAATCATGAAAACGAGAGCCCTATCAGCAATTTTTTCGCTCTTTTTCTCTCCAAAATCCTCAAACCCTTCAAACTCTTTTGAATGCGTGTTCAACGATATATGTGGTTCTATGGAAATTTCGTCAAACATTAGGACACATAGTTTTTCCTGCTGTTTTAAGCCTTTAACTTTTGCTTTTAAGTTGTCAAATAGTGCCTCATTGTAACCCGCTTTAATCGGTATTCTATTGAGTAAGGCCATTATAGTTTTTTTCGAAGGCATAGGAAATATTTTAGAAAAGAGTTTATATGCTCTGTTACTTTGTTTGTTCAAGATGAGACCCATAATTTTGTCATCCAACGTATATCTTCTACCATTAGGATGCACATCGGCTAATCTAATCTGGGTCTTTACGAAATTTGCAACCGTCCGATTCAAAGGCGCTGTCACCTTTTCAACTAGTTCTTCTTTCGAAATTTTTGTCAATTGCTTTTTTTTATCAAAAATTTTGGTTTTTGTAAGGCGACATACCTTTCTCCTAAGTTTTTTTGTTAAATTGTAAAGTTTTTTTGCTTCTTCAGGAAGCTCTTTGCTGTACGTAACTCCTGCGATTTTTAAGATTTTTGAAGGAACTTCGTTAACCAATGCAGAGCTTGATGATCTTTTTAAAACGCGTCTTTCACTCAAGGATGGAACTGGGATGGAATCGGGACTGATTTGCTCGGAAGCGGGATCATTTATGGGGTCTGCAATAATAAATAATTGTAGATTCGCCAAAATGTAGTTTTTATTTCACCATGAAAAAGAGAGAAATACGTAAATATGTAAATTTTACCTGCAACCGTGTCTTCTTGAGAAGAAACAGGATCTAAATTTGAATCTGATACAGGAAAATGGAGAGGCAAAAAAAGACTTGGCAACACATCCTTTTTCAGTAACATATTAGACGACCGATCTTCCACAAGAAAATGCCTGTCACAAATACGGTGGGAGCGATACACCAGGTCTGCATTCTTAACATGAAGATCTTTATCTCCGCAAAGCTCAATCCATCGTTCAAAACGGCTTTTGAATTTACGGGGATTTGGAAAGCGATGTCGCGGGGATTGGCGATCATCGCAGGTTACAACGGCACACTTGCGGTACTTCACCATCCTCTAACTGCAATAGTTAATAATAAAATTCCATATCTTCAAATTAAACAAATATTTTTACCTTATAAAGTCCTTAATTGAACGGGGAACAAACAGTAAAACAAGAAACACCAAACAGCAACACAAAACAAGAATAAAGAGAACGCGAACACCAAAAATATATATAAAAGTAACGAAAACAAAACTAACAGAGCAAATTAATCGAAAAACTGTGGCTCAAAGACCAAGATAGCAGAACAGAACGGTTGGGAAAGCACGGGAATCGAGACGATAATTAATTTTTGACGTTTCAAGTTGTCAAAGTAACCGAAGCGCTTTTATTTATTATTTTCATAGATATTGTTTTAAATTTAAAAACATGCCGCCAGCGCCTCTCGTGGACTGTTCCCCGTACTAAAACGCATGCCCATTTCAATCCTTTGAAGTTCCCGCCCCATGCCACTGATTTAGATTCTGATACAGGATCATTGCAACCCGGACATGAGCCAGTAGATGTCATTATTAAATTATTACAACTGACACAACAGAAGCCAATAGCGTTATGCGTTTGCGCAACCTGTGGTTGCCAGAAGACAACCACAGCTCTCCCTGCAATTCGCAAAAATGCGGCGAAATTGGGAACTAAATTTGTAAACAACAAAATTAATTTTACAAATTAAAGTAATAAAAGCAGCAGCTCTTGGACGACTACTACGCTCATAAAAGCAAGACAAGCCAAATAATGAAACTAAACAAAACTCACAACTTCAGATTAAATTTCAACCACATTCCAGGGATATTTAATCACACACGAAACACACTGTGTCACAGTCACCACCAATCTTTTTGCATTTTAATAATTTTTCGACATTTCGAGTTTTCAATCTTTCGATTTTTTAAATTTTAGTTTTTTCAATTTTTCGGATTTAGATTCTTAAAATTATTGATTTTTCAATTCTTCGATTTCTTGAGATTTCGACCTCTCGATTTTTCAATTGTTCATTTTTCCGAATTTTCGATGTATCGATTTTAAGCTATTTTGATTTCTCAATTTTTCGATTTTTTGATTACTCGACTTCTTAAATTTTGGATTTTTTGATATCTCGGTTTTTCGATTTTTCAATTTTTTTTAAATTCTAGTTTTTGGCTTTTGAATTTTTCGATTTAACGCATTTTTGATTCAATTTCTTGACTTCTCGGTTTCTCAGTTTTAATGATTTTCGAGCTTTCAATCTTTCGATTTTTTAAATTTTAGTTTTTTCAATTTTTCGATTCTTAAAATTTTTTATTTTTTAATTCTTCGATTTCTTGAGATTTCGACCTCTCGATTTTTCAATTGTTCAATTTTCCGAATTTTCGATGTATCGATTTTAAGCTAATTTTGATTTATCAATTTTCCGATTTTTTGATTTATCGACTTCTTAAATTTTGGATTTTTTGATATCTCGGTTTTTCGATTTTTTATTTTTTTTTTAAATTCTAGTTTTTGATTTTTGAATTTTTCGATTTAACGCTTTTTGATTCAATTTCTTGACTTCTCGGTTTCCCAATTTTAATAATTTTTCGAATTTTCGAGCTTTCGATCTTTCTATTTTTTTTTTTTTTTTGATTTCAGTTTTTCCAATATTTCGGATTTAGATATTTCTGTTTTTCAATTTTTAGATTCTTAAAATTTTTGATTTTTCAATTTTTCAATTTCTTGAGATTTCGACCTCTCGATTTTTCAATTGTTCATTTTTCCGAGTTTTCGATGTATCGATTTTAAGCTATTTTGATTTATCAATTTTTCGATTTTTTGATTTCTCGACTTCTTAAATTTTGGATTTTTTGATATCTCGGCTTTTCGACTTTTCAATTTTTTTTTAAATTCTAGGTTTTGATTTTTGAATTTTTCCATTTAACGCTTTTTTGATTCAATTTCTTGACTTCTCGGTTTCTCAGTTTTAATGATTTTCGAGCTTTCAATCTTTCGATTTTTTAAATTTTAGTTTTTTCAATTTTTCGATTCTTAAAATTTTTTATTTTTTAATTCTTCGATTTCTTGAGATTTCGACCTCTCGATTTTTCAATTGTTCAATTTTCCGAATTTTCGATGTATCGATTTTAAGCTAATTTTGATTTATCAATTTTCCGATTTTTTGATTTATCGACTTCTTAAATTTTGGATTTTTTGATATCTCGGTTTTTCGATTTTTTATTTTTTTTTTAAATTCTAGTTTTTGATTTTTGAATTTTTCGATTTAACGCTTTTTGATTCAATTTCTTGACTTCTCGGTTTCCCAATTTTAATAATTTTTCGAATTTTCGAGCTTTCGATCTTTCTATTTTTTTTTTTTTTTTGATTTCAGTTTTTCCAATATTTCGGATTTAGATATTTCTGTTTTTCAATTTTTAGATTCTTAAAATTTTTGATTTTTCAATTTTTCAATTTCTTGAGATTTCGACCTCTCGATTTTTCAATTGTTCATTTTTCCGAGTTTTCGATGTATCGATTTTAAGCTATTTTGATTTATCAATTTTTCGATTTTTTGATTTCTCGACTTCTTAAATTTTGGATTTTTTGATATCTCGGCTTTTCGACTTTTCAATTTTTTTTTAAATTCTAGGTTTTGATTTTTGAATTTTTCCATTTAACGCTTTTTTGATTCAATTTCTTGACTTCCCGGTTTCTCAATTTTAATAATTTTTCGACTTTTCGAGTTTTCAATCTTTCGATTTTTTAAATTTTAGTTTTTTCAATTTTTCGGATTTAGATTCTTAAAATTATTGATTTTTCAATTCTTCGATTTCTTGAGATTTCGACCTCTCGATTTTTCAATTGTTCATTTTTCCGAATTTTCGATGTATCGATTTTAAGCTATTTTGATTTCTCAATTTTTCGATTTTTTGATTACTCGACTTCTTAAATTTTGGATTTTTTGATATCTCGGTTTTTCGATTCTTCAATTTTTTTTAAATTCTAGTTTTTGGCTTTTGAATTTTTCGATTTAACGCATTTTTGATTCAATTTCTTGACTTCTCGGTTTCTCAGTTTTAATGATTTTCGAGCTTTCAATCTTTCGATTTTTTAAAATTTAGTTTTTTCAATTTTTCGATTCTTAAAATTTTTTATTTTTTAATTCTTCGATTTCTTGAGATTTGGACCTCTCGATATTTCAATTGTTCAATTTTCCGAATTTTCGATGTATCGATTTTAAGCTATTTTGAGTAATCAATTTTTCGATTTTTTGATTTCTCGACTTCTTAAATTTTGGATTTTTTGATATCTCGGTTTTTCGATTTTTCAATTTTTTTTTAAATTCTAGTTTTTGATTTTTGAATTTGGCGCCGGGTTGGGTGGGCGGGGCTTGGGTTGAAGATCGTAGGCGGGGTTTATACACTTTACACATTTAACCTACACCAATCAAGTTGTTTATTAGAAACAATAGAAGTGTATATAGATTGACTTAATTTGCAAAATCGGGTACTTGGCAGATTTTCCCTCCGCAAAAATTGGAGCAGCATTTTTCATTTTTCTTGCAATCGTTGTCACTCTTGCATTTTTCTTCCTTACAATCCTGAGTTTGAACTCCTGCAAAAGCAACGGGACACTGACCACTATGTTCTTGTGCTTCTGAAAGTACTAAAATAGTGCCAACTAGTAGCACCACGACGACGATTTTCATCATTTTGTTGGTTTCGTGCTTTTAAAAAACAATACCAACTGGTCAAGATTGGTCGAATCATGGGTTTATATATCCCTCGAAGTAAGCTTTATCGCACGTATTTATAAGTTTCATACATATGTATACTAAAAAAAATATAATTCGGGGAACTTTGTTGAATTATTTTTCATAATTTAAAGCAAGCAGGAAACGCGACGTCAAAACTTGATTATTCTGTGCACCTGAAAATAATGTTACATAAACGAATTTATTGTGTTAGATAATTTTAAGTGCTTGACGTGCAAAAAATATGTTTGTTTTCGCCTTACAAATGGATATTTATGTTATTGGTGTGGTCGAGGTTGAAAAATAAGGTCATTAAAATGCACAACAAGGTTAAGTTTTGTGTGGTTTTTAAAATTCGCGCCTTTTTGCGGTAGGCGGGGCTTGAGGTTTTAAGTGATTGTGGGCGGTGTTACACAGATAATTCACTTTATTGATACGTTTTTAAGACAGCAGTTGTTTTTAAGTTTTTCTGTTAACGTAAACGACCGTTGAGCAAACGGTTCCTCCGCAGTAAGTGTAGCAACATTTCTCGTTCTTGGCGCAGTCTTCATCAGATTTGCACTTCTGCTCGGCGCAGTCAGAGGTTGGTTTGCGTCTGGCGCCAGAAAAGGCCTGCGGACACATCCCTGAGTGAGTGTCTTGTGCTAAAATTGTACCAAGGATTAATAAAAGGACCACGAGCTTGTACATTTTTAGGAACTGAGGTGATTTGGGTCAGAATTGGGTTTATATAGTTGCACTTATCAGTTAGGTGTCACGTTTTTGAAATATTTATCACGAATCTTTTTATTTGCATATCGCTAATAAATATGTAAGTGAAGTATCAATCAGCCTTGAATTTTTAAACGAAGGTTGACGTGTCGGACATTTAATGATTTAAGAGGCGATTTTTGGAAAAACAGTTAGTGGCATGCTTAGAACTAGATTAGAATGCGAGCGCAGCGAGCATGTGCAGGTGTTAATAAAAATAATTCACCATTGTCAAAACTGAAAAATCGGAATATCGAAAAATTGATAAACTGAGAAATCGAAAACTAAAAATTATAATGTAAAACCGAGAAGTCAATAAATCTAATCAAAAAACCGCCAAACCGAAAAATTGAAAAATGAAAAACTAAAATTTGAAAATCAAAAAATTGAAAAATCGAAACACCGATATATCAAAAAATCCAAAATTTAACAAGTCGAGAAGTCAAAATCGAAAAATTGATGAATCAAAATAGCTCAAGTAATCGAAAAATTGGAAAATCAAAAATTTTAGGAATCTAAAAATTGAAAAACAGAAATATCTAAATCCGAAGAATTAAAAAAGCTAAAATTTAAAAAATCGAAAGATTGAAAACTCGAAAAGTCGAAAAATTAATAAAATTGAGAAACCGAGAAGTCAAGAAATTGAATCAAAAAAGTGTTAAATCGAAAATTTCAAAAATCAAAAACTAGAATTTAAAAAAAAATTGATATATCGAAAAACCGAGATATCAAAAAATCCAAAATTTAAGAAGTCGAGAAATAAAAGAATCGAAAAATTGATAAATCAAAATAGCTTAAAATCGACACATCGAAAATTCGGAAAATTGAACAATTGAAAAATCGAGAGGTCGAAATATCAAGAAATCGAAAAATTGAAAAATCGAAAATGTTAAGAATCGAAAAATTGAAAAACCGAAAAATATAAATCCGAAAAATTGAAAAAATAAAATTTAAAAAATCGAAAGATTGAAAACTCGAAAAGTCGAAAAATTATTAAAATTGAAAAACTGAGAAGTCAAGAAATTGAATCAAAAAACCGTTAAATCGAAAAATTAAAAAATCGAAAACTAAAATTAAAAAGTCAATACAATGAAAAATAAAAAATTCGAAAAACTGATGAAGTGAAATTTAACAATAGTAAAATTGAACAATCGAAAAACCGAGATATCGAAAAATCCAAAATTTCAAAAATCGAAAATTTTGGAAAATCCGACCATCGAAAAGTCGAAAAACTAAACAGTTGTAAATTTAAAAAAACAAAACGAGAAATCGAAAAAACAAAAACTGAAATATAAAAAAATCGAAAAAATGAAAATTCAAAATTTTAAAAATCCAAAAATTCAAAAATTCCGAAATTGAAATGCTAAAAAATTGAGAAATGGAAAACTTGAAGCATTGATGAGACATCTAAAAATCGAAAAGTCGAAAAATTATTAAAATTGAAAAATCGTGAAATCAAGAAATCGGATTAAAAATCGTCAAATTGAAAAATGGAAAACTAAAATGAAAAATCAATACACTGAAAAATAAAAAATTCGAAAAACTGCATAAAGTTAAATTTAACAATAGAAAAATTGAACAATCGAAAAATCCAAAATTTCAAAATTCGAAAATTTGGAAAATCCGACCATCGAAAAATTGGAAAAACGAAATATCGAAAAACTGAGCAGTCGTAAATTTAAAAAAACAAAACGAGAAATCGAAAAAACAGAAACTGAAATTTAAAAAAATCGAAAAAATGAAAAATCAAACTGAAAAAATTTGAAGAATTCAAAAATACAAATATCAAAAAATTGAAAAATCAAGAAATCGAAACATCCAACTATCGAAAAATTGAAAAAACTAAACTTTAAAAATCGAAAAATGTAGAAATCAAAAAATTGAAAAATCGAACAGTCGGAAAGTTGAAAAACCAAGAACAAAAGAATCGAAAAACCGAGAAACAAAAGAATCGAAAAACTGCAAAATCGAAAAACTGAAAAATACGAAAATTAGAATATCGAAAAATCCAAAAATTGAAAAATTCCAAAAATTGAAATGCAGGAAAATTGAGAAATAGAAAACTCGAAACATTGGGACATCTAAAAATCGAAAAGTCGGAAAACTATTAAAATTGAGAAATCGAGAAGTCAAGAAATACAATAAAAAAATCGTCAAATCGAAAAATTGAAAAATCAATACACTGGAAAATAAAAAATTGGTAAAAATTGAAAAAAGTGAAATTTAACAAAAGAAAAATTGAACAATCGAAAAAAGAAGATAATATCGAAAAATCCAAAATTTCAAAAATCGAAAACTTGGAAAATCGGAACATGGAAAAATTGGAAAAACGAAAAATCGAAAACGCGACCAGTCGTAAAATTAAAAAAAAAATAGAAATCGAAAACTCGAAAACTAAAATTTAAAAAATCGAAAAAATAAAAAATCAAACTGAACTATTAAAAAATCTAAAAATTGAAAAATAGAGAAATCGAAAATTTTAAAACTCTAAAAATTAAAAAATTAAAATCGAAAACTGAAGAATCGAGAAATTGAAACATCGAAGTATCGAAAAACTGAAATTTTGAAAAATAGAAAAATTGAAAAAGCAACTAATCGGAAAATCCAAAATTTTAAAAATCCAAAAATTGAAAAATTCCGAAACTGAGTTGCTGAAAAATTGAGGAATGGAAAACTTGAAATATTGAGACATCTAAAAATCGAAAAGTCGAAATATTATTAAAATTGAAAAATCGGGAAATCGAAAAATTGAAAAATCGAAAAATTAAAAATCAATAGAACTCAAAAATAAAAAATTTGAAAAACTGAAAAAAGTGAAATTTAACAATAGAAAAAATGAACAATCGAAAAACCGAGATATATCGAAAAATCCAAAATTTCACAAATCGAAAACTTGGAAAATCGGAATATCGAAAAATTGAAAAAACGAAAAATCGAAAACCCGAATAGTGGTAAAATTAAAAAAAAAAACGAAAAATCGAAAGCTAATATTTAAAAAATCGAAAAAATGAAAAATCAAACTGAAAAAAATCGAAAAATGGAAAATAGAAATATCAAAGAAACGAAAAATTGCAAAGTAGAGAAATCGAAAAATGTAAAACTCTAAAAATTGAAAAATCAAAATCGAAAAACTGAAGCATCGAGAAATAGAAACAACTATCGAAAAGTTAAAAAAATCACATAATTGAAAAATTGAAAAACCGAGAAATTGAAGAATCCAAAAACTGGAAAATGGAAAAATTGAAAAATCGGAATATCGAAAAACTGGAAAATAAATAATCGAGAAACGAAACATCAAAAGATCGAAAATCCAAAAGTTGAGAAGTCAAAAATTCGAAAAATTAACAAATCGAAACAGTTCAAAATCGAAATTCGAAAAATTGAAAAATCGAAACATTGAACAATTGAAAAAACAAACACTTGAAGAATCGAAAAATTGAAAAACCGCAAAATTGAAAAAACTAAAATTTAAAAATCAAAAAATCGAAAAGTTGAAAAATCGAAAATGGAATACTAAAATTTTAAAAAATCAAAAAAAATAAAAAAGAGAAATATCAAAGAACTGAAAAATTGAAAAATCGAGAAATCGAAAAATATAAAACTCTAAAAATGGAAAAATTAATATCGAAAAACTGAAGACTAGGAGAAATCGAAACATCGAACCGCCGAAAAATTCCGAAAACTGAAATGTTGAAAAACTAAGAAATCAAAAATTTGAAAAATCGAGAAATCAAAAAATTGAAAAGTCGAAAAATTATTAAAACTAAAAAATCAAAAAGTCAAGAAACCGAATAGAAAATCATCAAATCGAAAAATTGAAAACTCGAAATCTAAAATTTAAAAAATCGAAAAATTGAAAAATCAATACATTAAAAAATAAAAAATTCGAAAAACTGAAAAAAGTTAATTTTAAAAATAAAAAAAATGATCAATCGAAAAACCGAGATATCGAAAAATTCAAAATTTAAAAAATCGAAAATTTAGAAAATCGGAACATCGAAAAATTGGAAAAACGAAAAATATATACATATAATAAAGCTAAAAAATAAAAAATTGAGAAACCGAAATAGTTCAGAATCGATGAATCGGAAATTGAAAAAATTAAAAAATCGAAGCATCGAAATCACGAGAAATCGGGAAAGGGAGAAACGAAAAATCAAAATCCGAAAAATTGAATAAACTAAAATTTAAAAGTCGAAAAATTTAAAAATTGAGATGTTGGAAAACTGAGAAATGAAATATGTACTTTGAAAAATGGAAAAGTGGAAAAATTATTAAAAGTGAAAAACGGAGAAATCAAGAAATCGAATCAATATGTCCTAAAATCGAAAACTGTAAAATTTAAACGTTCGGAAAATTGAAAAATCAATTATCTGAAACACATAGAATTCGAAAAACTGAAAAATCTATAAATCTACAATTTTAAAAATTTTAAAATTAAAAAAGCTAAAAATTGAAGAATCGAAAAACCAAAAAATTGAGAAATCGAAACATCGAAAAAGTGAAAAATTGAAAAATCTAAGATATTAAAATCGAAAAAGTAAAAAACAAGAAATCGAAAAATCGAAAAATTTGAAAATTTAATATTGAAAAGTCTCAATTAAGGAATCGAAAAACCGATAAATCTAAAAGTCTAAAAACCTAAACCCTGAAAAATAGAGGAATTGAAAAATTGAAAAATCCAACACTGAAACACAGGAAGACCGAGAAACCGAAAAATGAAAAATTCAATCAATCGAAAATTTGAAGAATCGAGAAACTGAGTAATCGAAAAATTGAGAATAAATAAACTGAAAACTTTTGGTAAAAACTCAACATGGATTCTTCAACAACGAATGCTTACTTTCGTTGTAGGAGTATGTTATCGTATAAAATAAGTACTAAAGACCATTGTAGGTATATCCCCGGATTTTTATTTTACACCAGTTTTATACGACAACCTGAAAAACCACAATCTTAAAAACGTCGATTCTTGTAAAAAACTCAAATCAAAACAATAATCGTGGCGAGTCCCCTCATCGTGACGACACGGACTTTCCCACAACCTCTCCAGTAAACAATCTCAAATACCTCAACAAATTTGCAATAAAACGATAAAACAGATTAAGCGATTCTATTGTGACACTTCACGAATTGACAAACGCGTGACTCAAGTTCGGAGAATCGCCTAATCGATGCGGTTTTTCCACGAAGGTCATACGGCAGCAGGACTGCAGCCGTAGAGCCGGCCGGGCATCGGCTCGAGAGCAACGTCCACTTCCTGCTGCCATGTAACTCTTAACCTATCACTAAAACTGATTAGCAGATAAATTAGTGCATTAATTTAGTACAAACGCAATTCGACTGTGATAAAAATAATACATCTTCCTAGTGAAAAAGGTGTGGTGCAATTTGGAGGTTATCATGGATGTTGGAAACTCTCGTGAAGTAAGTACTTATGAAAATACAAGATAATCTTTTGTTTTGGTCGTTTTCAGTGAATATTTTGTGTACTTACGCATGGGTTTAGTTAAACAAATACCAACGTGAAGCGTGACGTCATTAAGTCTATTTTTAGCGAACTATCAGTTCGATTTAAATATTTATAGAGATTTTCTTTTCTAGCTTCAAGGGCTTGTAAACAGTGGTGCAAACACTCCACAGAGCGAAACACGAATATACTTAAGATCCCCAAATATCGACTTCGTCACTTTTAGGGAGCAAGTCATCCAAAACAACATCCAAGAGCATTTTTTGAACTCTGTTGTCTTGAATAGTGTTGACCACAAAAACGGTGTTTTAAAAAAACCGATTTTATTGCTAGCTTGTGAAGAAAAAGCTGAATTTAAAAGAGTGAACCATGAAACGGTCAAACTCCTGTTGGATAAAGGTGCCATTACTGACTACCTTGACACAACATGGTACGGATGGGAGGCTTTACATTACGCAGCTTATGCCTCAAACCCTGATAAATTACAAGCGCTATGTGATAAACTAGGTGAAGCCAGAGTCAACACTTTGACTATGTTATCAGAAAATGCTCTTCACGTTTTGCTTGAACATGGAACCTTGGGTCAAAGTTTCAACGTGTCGTGCCAGAACGGAACGGACACAAGGATGGCGAAAATCATCAGCAAAGAAGAAGAAAACGTGACTAAAAGTGCTCGAGTTTTGATTGACGCTAAGATTGATATCAACCATACGAACTTCTGGAACCAAACTCCTATTTTGATAGCTATCAAACGTAGATATTTTGGCGTGGTGAAGTTGTTACTGGAGAAAAGTGATATAGATTTAGATTCTTGTAAAGACGCGGTGTCTGGAAAGACGGCCCGAGAACTATTGGAAGGGAAAGAAGGGTTGGGGAAACTACCAACAAGTTTGGGTTCGAGATCACCCAAAGAGATTCTTTTTTCGTTCCTAAAATCCGGCGATGAAGATAACTTCTTGGAATACAATGGTGGAAAAATTAGTGACTTTGTTGACGACTTGGATGGTGACAACGTAAACAACTCTAGTTGTACTTTGTTACAATACTGTTTTCGCAGAGGTTTGATCTTCTGGTATAAAGATAAAGCGAGCAATGATTGTGACCAGAATGGTCAAGATATCACGTCAAATCGTCTAGTGAACGTTTTTTGTGAAAGTGGAATGGGAAAATCCATCCAACATTTGATCAATAATGGAGCTAATCCCTATTTCACGTTACGAAAGTTTGAACAAGATCATTCCATCCTGGAAGCAGCTATCATCAAAGGGTACTACCCTATGGTAGCACTCATTTTAAGCAAACCCGACGCTGAACCACCACCATACCCCAAAATCTGTACCGCTTTAGTCAAACTACTTAAAAATCACTCTCGCAGCATCGATTTGAACAACACTCTTGCAGTAGTTTTGAGCTGGTTGCTCGACCAATTTAACACGCTCAGAGCAAACGAAGAAAAACTCAAAACCAACGATCCAGACGCAGTACTAGACGAAAGTTTCCAAAACTCGTATGAAAAAATAGAAGCTCAATTGTCCGAGTTGCTTAAGTTAGGTGCGAAAATCATCAGTCCAGAAAATCAACTTCTGTTGCTAAAATTCCCGAATTCGTTGTGTTGGACTAGTGAAGATGAAGACACTAAGAGTCAGACGTCTTGGTGGTGTTGTAAAAACTCCACAGAGAAAGATCCAGAAACTAAAATCACCCACTGGAAGATCTGCTTTTGTAAGTCAGGCAAAAAGTCAGTTATAGAAGAAATAGATCCAGAAGTGCTGCACAGCCATCTGGACGACTGTGTGGAGCAAGAGGGAACAGATGTAAATATCAACTGTGACAGTTTTCTCAAAGACGGTTCTGTTTACCCGGTTTTTGATACTTTTTTGTCGTCTAAGAAAGTCAAAGGGAGTCTCAATCACCTGGTTTTCAAAATTTTGATTATGCGACATTGGGAAAATTTGAAACTAAGGATATTAGGCTGTCCGGTTCAATACATCCACTTGAGCGTAGTTTTCTATGGAATATTTTACCTTCTCTTACATCTGTACGTTCTGTTTAGCTTTAATGATATTCATTGTCCTTACCTTTCAATTTTCGGGTCCATATTTTTAGTGACTTTCATTGTAAAAGAACTTCTACAGTTGAAAGCCAACTGTAAATTATATCGGCAAGAAACTAGTAATTATTTCGAGCTTATGTTCATCGTTTTTGCCCTTATGATGTATTTTTTTGACACCAAATGGAATGACGTTTTTCGAGTTTTGTCAATCTTGAGCTCAAACGTGGTTCTTTTTTTCCTACTAGAGAACGTTCCAGCTTGCTCCAAATACGTTATTATACTCCGAACGATCGTTTTCTATCTTAGATACATATTTTTCTATTTTATCCAATTCCTGGCTTTTGCCATCTGTTTCTATATACTTTTTGCCAAAAAGAACCAAGTCTGGAAAACCGAGATACCAAACAAGATTTTCGAGACGGTTGTTTTGTTTACTGGAAACTTGGACTATATGGAGACCCCTTGGAAGCAGGAAAACAACAATGGTAACAATAGTACAGACCCAAATCTCTACCACGACTTCCCCCACAAGGAATCTTTTTCAAAATTTATCTTCATCTTATTCGTACTGTTTCTAGCTATCATTCTCCAAAACTTGCTTCTTGGTTTGCTCGTTATCGACATGGGCGATCTTCACAAGGACTCCGCTTTGTCAGAGCAAGTCAAAAGGGCCGGTTTCGTACTCAGAATGCACATTTTCTTCAAAAGTAGTCGCTTCATGGAGATTTTGGCAAAAGTGTTCCAGTACGAGGATTTGAAACCCGAGTCAAAAATAACCGTAGACGATAACGACAGGAAAATACTGACCAAAGAAGAAAAGCAAAATTTGGACTTCATGTTGACGAAGAAGACGAAAAGGCCGAATATTTTGAAGAAGCTGCGCAACTACGTGAAGATGAAAACGAACGAACGAAGCGGGGAATGCTGGCGGAAGAAGCAAGTTTTAGACAAGGCGGTGATAGAAGAAATCGTCAAAAATTTGTATAGAATGCAAGAAATGAAAATGTGAAAAGTTGTTGAATTTTGAGGCTTTAATTATGTTTTTGTGACAAAGTGCCAATGATTTGTAATTATTTTTTATGAAATATATTTTTATTAAAGCGTTGTGTTTAACTGTCTAAGACATTTTTTACCATAGAGTGACGAAACCAAGAATGATGAAACCAAGTGCAAAGTCTGCGGCGAAATCGTCCTTAGCAAAAACTTGAAAGACCACAGAACAACTTTCAAACACATAGAAGCCCAGAAGCAGAAGTACGGAGAAACCGAATGCACCATATGCAAGGAAAAGTTCCCCAAAGGGTACTGGAAGCAGCACAAAACCACCAAGACACACATCTTAGCTGAACAACAAAAAGAAATCAGCAAGGTTAGAAAAACAATCTTCTAAATTATTTTTAACACATGTTGTTTTAGATCGTCAAAACCATGAAAGAGGGCGAAACCGAGGTGTACACTCTTCGTCCAGGCTCCAACGAAAACCGACACTACATCAACACTTTGACCACATTTCTGGCAGTCCGATTCGCTCTGAACACCAATAAAGATTTCAAAGTCTCGGTTAACAACGACAAGTGGAACGATTTTGGAGATATCGTCTTCGAGTTTGACCACCCTGAAAAAACAATCGAAGCAATTCGCTGCAAGAAAATCGAAACTAAGAATAAGTACACCCCGGTTGCGCTCACCGCGGAGTTTGGGAAACTCAGCCTTAAAGAACAGTGCGAAATTTTGAAAAAACTAAACCGCAAAGACGATTTCGGCAACACGAATTTTAAATTGTACACAGTGTCGAGTGTCGAGGTTGACAAAAACCCGGAAGTGGTTTACGACGAGAGTGATGTCCAGAAGTGGCAATCCGATGATAAAGAATCGTGGAAAGGGGTGAAAGTTGAAATCAAGCAGTCCAAATCCAAGAAGAAGGATTTGTTCAACACGACGGACGATGCTGATGATGTTTGTACCTTCCAGATGGTGAACCATGGAGACGATAGTGTTAATGAAGACTTGTCGAAGTTCCAGATGTACATCAAACAGAAACGAAGATCGGAAATGATGCTCTTCATTGACACAATCATCAAGGATAAGTTGAATATCGACTTTGACATTTCGGATGAATTGCTCAAGTACGTTAGATACAAATTTAAGACCGACAAGGTCCTTAAAAAACACGAACGTGGTCTGAAAGTAACCAGAGAAAACGTGTTGGTGAAAATCGCAGAAATCTTGCTGACACCCTTTCTGGTCGTTCCGCATGACCTAATCGAAGAGAAAAATTTAGATTTGTGGAACGACTCAATCAAAGAATTTGATATCACGGTCCTTAAACACGAGGAAGATATCGTTACAAAAATCTACAAAGGTATTAATCACGTTCTGAAACAAGAAATTAACTACTCTTTGAGTATCTTCCATGAAGTCAAAATCGACACCGAAAATATAACCAACGAAAGACTAAAAAAGAAACTCTTTGGGTACGACGGTTCTCTCAAATTCTTGTATCTAGCTTTGTGGAAATCAGGCCTAACACCCTTGATTCTGAGAGCCCAAGACCACAAACAACTCCGTCTCATCTGCGACGTTGTAACTTTTCTCAAACAAGAAAACTCTCTTTTGAAGGTTGTGATAACCACTGATCTCAAACCAGATCATCGGTACTTCTCTGAAAAACTAAAAGTGTTTTTGAACATGTCTGATCTCAAACTTCTTGAAAACGCGGTTTTGGAGAAGATTCTTTCAAAGAAGATAAAAGTGGTGAAGTTGAACTGTCAAGTAAGTTTGAAAGAAATCGACGAGTTGAATTGTGATTTTTTGAAGAAGCTGAGTCCTGATGCTTTTTTGAACATACTTTTCGATGATTATTCTTTTGTGAATGTTCAGGTACCGATGACGAACGAGATTGACGACAATACTATAGTTGTTGGTGATGACGTTATCCGACAGGTGGCACAGGACTTGAATGAAAGAGAGGGAAGCACTGAGAACGAACTGAAGTATCTGGTTAGTGTAGACGATGAACCGACTTATATTCACGTGCCACCACAACTGTAATCACACTAAGTAACAATAAATGACTCCTGTTTATGTTATCAGTGTTTAAATTATTATCACTTATCTCCGCTCGACTTATCACTGTTTGTCCAAGTCGCTCTATTCTTGTTACAATAGAGCCGCTGCAATGTCCATAATTGACGAAAAGTTCAAGTTGCCTTCTAGACTCACCCCCACGCAGAAAAATGTTTGGTAAAATTTACACCCTTCTTGGTTTCTTGATGTATTCTTTTTTCCAGGATAGAGTATGTCCAGCTAGCTGAGGACTACAAGCCCTTGAATTTAGGGCTAGGGTTCCCAGACTACCCTCCTCCGAACTACGTCACCCAAACTTTAGCCCAAATTGCTAAAAGTGGTGATTGTCTTCTCCATCAGTACACTCGGGATTATGTAAGGATATAGTTGAAACTAAAAGAGAGTCAATGATGACTTGTAGGGTCACCCTCGACTTGTGTCCGCCCTTTCCCAACTCTACTCTAGACTACTAAAGCGCCCAATTAACCCTCAAACCGAAATTTTGACCACCGTTGGAGCCTTCGAAGCTCTTTTTTCGACCATAATTGGCCACGTAGACCAAGGGGATGAAGTCATCATCATTGAACCCTTCTTCGAGTGTTACGAGCCGATGGTCAAAATGGCTGGAGGCGTCCCCAAATTTATCCCTCTGCGACTAGTAATGCAACACCCCACTTAGTTAAAAAATAAACTCACTTGGAGTTGTAGAAAGATCTTCCACCCAATCAAGTACCTACCTCTGGTGACTGGACCCTCGACAAAGACGAACTCGAGGGTCTCTTCACCCCCAAAACCAAGCTACTTGTGCTAAATAACCCCCACAACCCCCTCGGCAAAGTGTTCAAACTTGAAGAACTCCAACACATCGCGGATTTGTGCAAAAAGTGGAACGTTCTATGTGTTTCTGACGAAGTCTACGAATGGATTGTCTACAAACCCAACAAACATATACGAATCGGTAGGTTAGTTACGCTGGTGTTACCATGATGACTATTCATTTTAGCTACTCTTCCTGGAATGTGGGACAGGACTATCACTATTGGTTCGGCTGGGAAAACCTTCAGTGTCACTGGGTGGAAGCTAGGATGGGCCTATGGTCCCTCTAATTTGCTCTACAATTTGCAAATGGTCCACCAGAATTCTGTCTACACCGGGAATACACCCATCCAGGTTTGCTTTCACGTTTCCAGAAACACACTCACTGGTTCTGAAGGAAGTTGTAGCTATTGGGTTGGAAAAGGAGCTCGAATGTCTAGATCGGGATGATTCTTATTTTAATTCTATTTCGTCGGAGCTGGTGGTTAAGAGGGACTTTATGGTTAAGGTTTTGAGTGAGGTTGGAATGAAGCCCACGGTTCCAGAAGGTGGTTATTTTATGGTGGCGGACTGGACACCACTGGAGTCCCAGATTGATCTGAGTTCGGAAAAGGATAAATGGAAGGACTATCGTTTTACCAAGTGGATGACCAAGAATCTGGGTTTGCAGGGGATACCACCGTCTGCGTTTTACACCGAGAGGGATAAGAGTTTAGCTGAAAATTTTGTGCGATATTGCTTCTTCAAGGTAGTAAAGAAATAAACACAATTTTGTGTTAAATAATGATTGTTATAGAAACACGAAAATTTGGAAGAGGCTGCCAGAATTTTGAAGAAGTGGAAGTCGTAATATGTATTCAAGGAAAAGTTTTTGCTGGAACTTTTATTTACTATTAAATAATTGATGATTATTATTATTATTAATAAAAAAATTATCGCATCGACAACCCACTATACAAATTTAATAGACATTTCAAGTAGCGCTCTCCAGTGGCCAGTTCGAAAACTATACATTTTTTAAAATAATGTTTTGTGCTGTGATTTGCTAGTTCATTTTAGTGATTACAGAAACTAATGACTATATCGCGGTAACAAAATTTGATGATGATGTCATCGATTAAGTCATTATCTATTTAAAATTTATCCTGTCGGCAACCCACTATACAGAAGATGTAGCCTTCCAAGTCGCACCCTCCATTATCCAGTTCTAAAACTATGTACTCAGTACCGAAGAGACCAAGGGGTTCTTGTTTTAAGCATTTTAGCATTATCGATGTTAATTAATTCATTTCTGAAACAAAAACCTGAAATAGGTGCTAATTTGAGCATTAGTTATTTTATCAACTAATCAATGAAAATGTATTACCAACAAAACACATAAATAAACCTCATAGTAAATAAGGTGGATCTACACAACAACAAGCCTTGTTCACACCAAACCAATAATAACCTCAAAACTTTTTGCCGAACGCCCCCCAGCCAAGTTAAAGAAATAACAGAATTTGTGGCTCCAGGATTGATCAACATGGCACGTATAAAAAAGCAGCCAAAAAAATGAACAAAACGCTACCATTTTTCATACAACTAGCTAATATTTATATAGTTGTACTTATCAGTTAGGTGTGACATTTTTGAAATACTTATCACAAACCTTAATATTTACACATCACTAGTAAATCTACAAGTGAAATATCAATCAATCTTAAGTTTTAAAACGAGGGTTTACGTAAAAACATTTACTTATTATTTAAGAGCCGATTTTTAAAGTAACAAGATTAGAAATTTGTTACTACCAACAAACCCAGATAGCTTCGCTGAGATTCTTTCATAATCACATTTGAGGTACCTACTGAACTGTAAAAAAAAGTTCTTTTTTGTATAGTTTAGCTTAGAATGCGAGCGCAGCGAGCAATTTAAAGAAGCTAAATTATTAAGAAACATTTTTGACGTAAATAAGAACATTCCAAGGCAACGTGGTCCGTACAAGTACAAACAACATGAGATACATTTAAAGCAAACAATTAAAAATAGAAAGTAGAAAAAAAATTAAATATGTAAAAATCCAGACATTGAAAAACCCGAAAATTGAATTGAGAAATCGAAACCTTGAAAAATCGAAAAATATAAAAATCCCAAAGTCAAAAAATTTTTAAAATCGAAAAACCGAGAAGCCAAGAAATCGAATCAAAAAACCCTCATCGAGAAATTAAAAAATCGAAAAATTGAAGAACCAATAAAAAAATCGAAAAGTTGAATAATGGAAGTAACAAAGAACTGAAAAATTGAAAAATCGAGAAATTGAAAAATTGGAAAACCGACATATCGAGAAAACCAAAATTTAAAAAGTCGAAAAATTGAAAAATCGAAAAATCGAAAGAAACATCGAAATCTCCAGAAATCGAAAAATTGAAACATTGGAGTGTTGGGAGATCGAGAAACCGAGAAATTAAAAAATTTTAAGAATCGAAAGATTGAAAAACCGAAAAACCGAAATCCGAATAATTGAGGAAACTAAAGTTTAAAAAACCAAAAATTAAAACATCGTAAAGCCTCAAATTCGAAAAATCGAAAAACCAAGAAATCAACAAAATCCAAATTTTAAAAATTCCGAAAGTTGAAAAATTGGAAAAGGGAAAACTTGAAACATCGAGAAATCTTAAAATGGAAACGTCAAAAAATTATTAAAATTGAGAAACCGAGAAGTCAAGAAATCGAATAAAAAAATCGTCAAATCGAAAAATTAAAAAATCCAAAATTAAAATTTAAAAAATCAAAAAATTGGAAAGCCAAACAGTCGTAAAATTAAAAAAACACGAAAATTCGAACCATCGAAAAGTTATAAAATTCGAAACATCGAGAAACAAAACACCAACATATCGAGAAATCCAAAAGACGAGAAGTCAAAAACTCGATTATTCGAAAATGCGAAAAATTGAAAAATTGAGAAATTGAACAAACCAAAAAATCGAAACGTCGAAGTTTCGAGAAATTGAAAACTCGAAAAATTAAAAAAACAAAAATTTTAAGAAACTGAAATACCGAAAAATCAAGTCAGTGAATTGAATCTGAAAAACCGAGAAATCGAAAAACCAAGGAACTGCAATATCCACAATTTAAAAAATCGAAAGACTAAAAAATCGGAAAATTAGAATATCGAAAATCCAGAAACTGAAAAATTCCTAAAACTGAAATTTGAAAAACTGAGAATTCAAGAAAACGAATCAAAAAATCGTAAAATCGAAATATTAAAAAATCGAAAACTTTAAAATTTGAATAATTCAATATAATTTAATAGACTGAAAAATAAATAAGTTCGAAAAATTGAAAAATTGAAATACAGAAGAACTGAACGAATAATTTTAAAGACAAATTCAAAAAATTGAAAAAGAGAAAAGCCGAAAAATCAAAAGCCAAGAAATCGAAAAATTCAAAATTTTAAAATTTCAAAGATTTTAAAATCGGGAAATTGAAGAATCGGGAAATTGAAAAGCTAAAAATTCAAAAATCAAAAGATTTAAAATGAAAAAAATGAATAAATCGAAAATTCGAAGACTGAAAAATCGAAAAATCGAAAGATCGAGAATTCGAAAAATTCCAAACATTGAAAAATAGATTTGTCGAAGAATTAAAGAATCGAGAATTGGAAAAATCGAAATGTCGAAAAATTGAGGAATTATATAATGAAAAATTCCAAAACTAAAATTGAACAATAGAAGGAAAATCAAAGAATCGAACAACTGAGAAATCCCAAAAGTGCAACATCGAAAAGTAAAAAATTTAAAATCTAAAAACTGAAAAATCGAAAAATCAAGAAAACGAGAAGTCGAAAAATAGACAAACCAAAAAATTGAAAACTGAAACTTTGGAAGATTGAGAAATCGAAAAATGAAAAATTCGATAAATCTAAAGTTTAAAGAATCGATATACTGAGTAACCGAAAAATTGAAAATTAAGAAATTGAAAATCTGAAAATCCAGAAATTGAAAAATCGAAGAATAAAAAAACTGAAAACGTAAGGTGGTTTCAACATAGATTCATAAACTACAAATGGAGGGGTTTTACCATCTACATTAAATTTCTAACAAATATTTGACAGCAATCTGTCGGCAGTTTCGGAGATTACCAGTCAAATAAAAATCTGAACAGATAACAGAGAGACAAACGGATACGGGAGACCTATTTTTCGTACTCTAGGGGTCATGAAATGTCGAGAATACATGTAAGTACCCAGTCGCCCGATGGACTCTATTTCAATACGAAGTTCCATAGCTTGTCTCGGGTAAAAACTCAACACGGATCCATAAACTAAACGTGCAGGAGCTTATTATATAGTTAAATAGGTACTAAAGAATGTTGTAGGGATATCAATAATCGTTTGGCGAGTCCACTCATCGTGTTTTTTTCCGAAAACCTCTACAGTAAACAACTTTAAATATTTCAATGAAAGTAAATATTAAATATTTCAATAAATTTGTAATAAATAAATAAACTAATGATAAAAAAACCCAAAAAAAACAGATTGCCAACAACTGATAACTAAGCGCTCCTCGCGTGAATCGACGTGGGATTTCTACGAAGGTGAGGCAGAAGGACTGTAGGCATAACTCCGACCGGGTGTCGGGTTGAAAGTAACGTCCACTTTCTGCTGCCACGTAACTCTTAACTTATCTATTAAAACTGATTAGTAGCTAAATTAATTCATTCATATTAGTATAAACGCGAGTTCGACGGTGATAATATAATATATCTTCCTAGCGAAAAAGGTATGGTGCAAAGGTTACCATGGATATTGAAAACAGTAATGAGGTTGGTAGGTACCTTCGAAAAATATGAGATAATTTTTTTGTTTGGTCATTTTCGATGAGTATTTTGTACGAAAAAATGATTTACACATGGGTTTAGTTAAACAAAACCAACGTGAGTTGAACTGTCAGTTCGGTTTAAACATTTATAGAGATTTTCTTTTCTAGCTTGAAGGGCTTGTAAATAGTAGTGGTCGAAACACTCCACAAACCGAAACACGAATAAACTTAAGTCCCCAGGAAAGCGACTTCGTCACGTCTAGGGAGCAAGTCATCCAAAACAACATCCAAGAGCATTTTTTGGACCCTTCTGTCGTAAATGACAACAGTGTGTTAAAAAAACCCATTTTGTTACTACCTTCTGAAGAAAAAGCTGAATTTAAAAAAGTGAGTAATGAAACGCTCAACCTTCTGCCGGAAAAAGATGCCGATATTGACGACATTAACACAGAATGGTACGGATGGGAGCCTTTACATTACGCAGCTTATGCCCCAAACCCTGATAAATTACAAGCGCTGTGTGATAAACTAGGTGAAGAGAGAGTCAACACTTTGACAATGTTATCAGAAAATGCTCTTCACGTTTTGCTTGAACATGGAATCTTAGGTCAAAGTTTCAACGTGTCGTGCCAGAACGGAACGGACACAAGGATGGCGAAAATCATCAGCAAAGAAGATGAAAACGTGACTAAAAGTGCTCGAGTCTTGATTGACGCTAAGATTGATATCAACCATACGAACTTCTGGAACCAAACTCCTATTTTGATAGCTATCAAACGTAGATATTTTGGGGTGGTGAAGTTGTTACTGGAGAAAAGTGAAATAGATTTGGATTCTTGTAAAGACGCGGTTTCTGGAAAGACGGCCCGAGAACTATTGGAAGGGAAAGAAGAGTTGGGGAAACTACCAAAAGATTTGGGTTCAAGATCAACCAAAGAGATTCTTTTTTCGTTCTTAAAATCCGGCGATGAAGATAACTTCTTGGAATACAATGGTGGAAAAATTAATAACATTGATGACTACTGGGATGGTGACAAAAAACACAACTCTAGTTGTACTTTGTTACAATACTGTTTTCGCAGAGGTTTGATCTTCTGGTATAAAGATAAAGCGAACAATGATTGTGACCAGAATAGTCAAGATATCACATCTAATCGTCTAGTGAACGTTTTTTGTGAAAGTGGAATGGGAAAATCCATCCAACATTTGATCAATAATGGAGCTAATCCCTATACCAAGTTACGAAAGTTTGAACAAGGCCATTCCATCCTGGAAGCAGCTATCATCAAAGGGTACTACCCTATGGTAGCACTCATTTTAAGCAAACCCGACGCTGAACCACCACCATACCCCAAAATCTGTACCTCTTTAGTCAAACTACTTAAAAATCACTCTCGCAGCATCGATTTGAACAACACTCTTGCAGTAGTTTTGAGCTGGTTGCTAGACCAATTTAACACCCTCAGAGCAAACGAAGGAAAACTCAAAACCAACGATCCAGATGCAGTACTAGACGAAAGTTTCCAAAACTCTTATGAAAAAATAGAAGCTGAATTGTCCGAGTTGCTTAAGTTAGGTGCGAAAATCATCAGTCCAGAAAATCAACTTCTGTTGCTAAAATTCCCGAATTCGTTGTGTTGGACTAGTGAAGATGAAGACACTAAGAGTAAGACGTCTTGGTGGTGTTGTAAAAACTCCACAGAGAAAGATCCAGAAAGCAAAAACACCCACTGGAAGATCTGCTTTTGTAAGTCAGGCAAAAAGTCAGTTATAGAAGAAATAGATCCAGAAGTGCTGCACAACCATCTGGACGATTGTGTGGAACAAGAGGGGACAGATGTAAATATCAACTGTGACAGTTTTCTCAAAGACGGATCTGTTTACCCGGTTTTTGATACTTTTTTGTCGTCTAAGAAAGTCAAAGGGAGTCTCAATCACCTGGTTTTCAAAATTTTGATTATGCGACATTGGGAAAATTTGAAACTAAGGATATTAGGCTGTCCGGTTCAATACATCCACTTGAGCGTAGTTTTCTATGGAATATTTTACCTTCTCTTACATCTGTACGTTCTGTTTAGCTTTAATGATATTCATTGTCCTTATCTTTCAATTTTCGGGTCCATATTTTTAGTGACTTTCATTGTAAAAGAACTTCTACAGTTGAAAGCCAACTGTAAATTATATCGGCAAGAAACTAGTAATTATTTCGAGCTTATGTTCATCGTTTTTGCCCTTACGATGTATTTTTTTGACACCAAATGGAATGACGTTTTTAGAGTTTTGTCAATCTTGAGCTCAAACGTGGTCCTTTTTTTCCTACTAGAGAACGTTCCAGCTTGCTCCAAATATGTTATTATACTCCGAACGATCGTTTTCTATCTTAGATACATATTTTTCTATTTTATCCAATTCCTGGCTTTTGCCATCTGCTTCTATATACTTTTTGCCAAAAAGAATCAAGTCTGGACAACCGAGATACCAAACAAGATTTTCGAGACGGTTGTTTTGTTTACTGGAAACTTGGACTATATGGAGACCCCTTGGAAGCAGGAAAACAACAACGGTAACAATAGTACAGACCAAAATCTCTACCACGACTTTCCCCACAAGGAATCTTTTTCAAAATTTATCTTCATCCTATTCGTACTCTTTCTAGCTATCATTCTCCAAAACTTGCTTCTTGGTTTGCTCGTTATCGACATGGGCGATCTTCACAAGGACTCCGCTTTGTCAGAGCAAGTCAAAAGGGCCGGTTTCGTACTCCGGATGCACATTTTCTTCAAAAGTAGTCGCTTCATGGAGATTTTGGCAAAGGTGTTCCAGTACGAGGATTTGAAACCCGAGTCAAAAATAACCGTAGACGATAACGACAGGAAAATACTGACCAAAGAAGAAAAGCAAAATTTGGACTTCATGTTGACGAAGAAGACGAAAAGGCCGAATATTTTGAAGAAGCTGCGCAACTACGTGAAGATGAAAACGAACGACCGAATCGGGGAATGCTGGCGGAATGAGAGGAAAAAGCAAGTTTTTGACAAGGCGATGATAGAAGAAATCGTCAAAAATTTGTATAGAATGCACGAAATGAAACTGTGAAAAGTTGTTGAATTTTGAGGCTTTAATTATGTTTTTGTAACAAAGTGCCAATGATTTGTAATTATTTTTTATGAAATATATTTTTATGAAAGCGTTTTGTTTAACTCTCTAAGACATTTGTAAGCAATTTGTTTTAATTAATGGGATTAAATCCAGATGTATAGATGCTGTTTCTGGTGTTCCACAGGGTTCGCATCTTGGACCCGTGTTGTTTTCTTTATTTGTTAATGACATTGTTAATGTAATACATAGTAGTGAGATTCTTCTCTTTGCTGATGATGTAAAAATTTTTAAGTGTATAGGGTCGTTAAATGATTGTCTTGCTCTTCAAGCTGATTTATACAATTTTGAAATGTGGTGTGAGTACAATAAATTAGAACTGAATATTCCTAAATGTAAATTTATTACTTTTAGTCGAAAACGTTGTTCAATTAATTATCAATATTCTTTGTCTAATACTTACCTAAAAAAAGTATCTTTATGTTCTGATCTAGGTATTATATTTGATTCCAAATTAAACTTTAACGCCCATATTGATAATGTTGTGTCCAAAACATCTAGGTTGTTAGGCTTTATTATACGGATGTGCTCGGATTTCTCTAATATTCGTACATTGTTGTTGTTGTTTAACGCTTTCATACGATCTAATCTCGAATACTGTACAGTCATTTGGTCGCCTTATTTTAGAATTCATATAAATAGGCTTGAGTCAATTCAAAGGAGATTTGTAAAATTTATTTGCTTTAAATGTGGTATTGTTTATGTTAATTACTGTGATATACTGATTTATTTAGGTTTATTGCAATTAGAGGTAAGGAGAAAGATGTTTGATTTTATATTTCTATTTAAAATATTGTCTTCCTTAATTGTTTGTCCTGATATTTTGAGATTATTTAAGTTGCATGTGCCCGAGAGAAGGGGCAGACATACTCACCTGCTTGCCCTGTTTTCTTCACGTACCTGCTATAGATTTTATAGCCCTGTTGGTCGTATATCGCGTTTATCGTTAGCATATAGTGATATTGATATAGTGGGTGTGTCTCTCACTTCTTTCAAGCGCAATATTCGGACTACACTGTCTACTAGTTTTTAATATTTTTATTTTTTTAATTTTTTTTTTTTTTTGTGTTTGGTCTATATGTTATCTATTTACATTTTTTTCCATTTTTGTAACTGGTCTAACCGTTAAATAAATCATTATTATTATTTTTTTACCATAGAGTGACGAAACCAAGAATGATGAAACCAAGTGCAAAGTCTGCGGCGAAATCGTCCTTAGCAAAAATTTGAAAGACCACAGAACAACTTTCAAACACATAGAAGCCCAGAAGCAGAAGTACGGAGAAACCGAATGCAACATATGCAAGGAAAAGTTCCCCAAAGGGTACTGGAAGCAGCACAAAACCACCAAAACACACATCTTAGCTGAACAACAAAAAGAAATCAGCAAGGTTAGAAAAACAATCTTCTAACTTATTTTTAACGCATGTTGTTTTAGATCGTCAAAACCATGAAAGAGGGCGAAACTGAGGTCTACACTCTTCGTCCAGGCTCTAACGAAAATCGACACTACATCAACACTTTGACCACATTTCTGGCAGTCCGATTCGCTTTGAGCACCAATCAAGATTTCAAAGTCTCGGTTAACAACGACAAGTGGAACGATTTTGGAGATATCGTCTTCGAGTTTGACCACCCTGAAAAAACAATCGAAGCAATTCGCTGCAAGAAAATCGAAACTAAGAATAAGTACACCCCGGTTGCGCTCACCACGGAGTTTGGGAAACTCAGCCTTAAAGAACAGTGCGAAATTTTGAAAAAACTAAAACGCAAAGACGATTTCGTCAACACGAATTTTAAATTGTACACAGTGTCGAGTGTCGAGGTTGACAAAAACCCGGAAGTGGTTTACGACGAGAGTGATGTCCAGAAATGGCAATCCGATGATAAAGAATCGTGGAAAGGGGTGAAAGTTGAAATCAAGCAGTCCAAATCCAAGAAGAAGGATTTGTTCAACACAACGGACGATGCTGATGATGTTTGTACCTTCCAGATGGTGAACCATACGGATGATAGTGTTAATGAAGACTTGTCGAAGTTCCAGATGTACATCAAACAGAAACGAAGACCAGATGTGATGTCCTTCATTGACACAATCATCAAGGATAAGTTGAATATCGACTTTGACATTTCGGAAGAACTGCTCAAGTACGTTAGATACAAATTTAAGACCGACAAGGTCCTTAAAAAGCACGAACGTGGTCTGAAAGTAACCAGAGAAAACGTGTTGGTGAAAATCGCAGAAATCTTGCTAACACCCTTTTTGGTCGTTCCGCACGACCTAATCGAAGAGAAAAATTTAGATTTGTGGAACGACTCAATCAAAGAATTTGATATCACGGTCCTTAAACACGAGGAAGATATCGTTACAAAAATGTACAAAGGTATTAATCACGTTCTCAAACAAGAAATTAACTACTCTTTGAGTATCTTCCATGAAGTCAAAATCGACACCGAAAATATAACCAACGAAAGACTAAAAAAGAAACTCTTTGGGTACGACGGTTCTCTCAAATTCTTGTATCTAGCTTTGTGGAAATCAAGTCTAACACCCTTGATTCTGAGAGCCCAAGACCACAAACAACTCCGTCTCATCTGCGACGTTGTAACTTTTCTCAAAGAAGAAAACTTTCTTTTGAAGTTTGTGATAACCACTGACCTCAAACCAGATCACCGATACTTCTCAGAAAAACTAAAAGTGTTTTTGAACATGTCTGATCCCAAACTTCTTGAAAACGTGGTTTTGGAGAAGATTCTTTCAAAGAAGATAAAAGTGGTGAAGTTGAACTGTCAAGTAAGTTTGAAAGAAATCGACGAGTTGAATTGTGATTTTTTGAAGAAGCTGAGTCCTGATGCTTTTTTGAACATACTTTTCGATGATTATTCTTTTGTCAATGTTCAGGTACCAATGACGAACGAGATTGACGACAATACTATAGTTGTTGGTGATGACGTTATCAGACAGGTGGCACAGGACTTGAATGAAAGAGAGGGAAGCACTGAGAACGAACTGAAGTATCTGGTTAGTGTAGACGATGAACCGACTTATATTCACGTGCCACCACAACTGTAATCACACTAAGTAACAATAAATGACTCCTGTTTATGTTATCAGTGTTTAAATTATTATCACTTATCTCCGCTCGACTTATCACTGTTTGTCCAAGTCGCGCTATTCTTGTTACAATAGAGCCGCTGCAATGTCCACAATTGACGAAAAGTTCAAGTTGCCTTCTAGACTCACCCCCACGCAGAAAAATGTTTGGTAAAATTTACACCCTTCTTGGTTTCTTGGTGTATTCTTTTTTCCAGGATAGAGTATGTCCAGCTAGCTGAGGACTACAAGCCCTTGAATTTAGGGCTAGGGTTCCCAGACTACCCTCCTCCGAACTATGTCACCCAAACTTTAGCCCAGATTGCTAAAAGTGGTGATTGTCTTCTCCATCAGTACACTCGGGATTATGTAAGGATATAGTTGAAACTAAAAGAGTGTCAATGATGAATTGTAGGGTCACCCTCGACTTGTGTCCGCCCTTTCCCAACTCTACTCTCGACTAGTAAAGCGCCCAATTAACCCTCAAACCGAAATTTTGACCACCGTTGGAGCCTTCGAAGCTCTTTTTTCTACCATAATTGGCCACGTAGACCAAGGGGATGAAGTCATCATTATTGAACCCTTCTTCGAGTGTTACGAGCCGATGGTCAAAATGGCTGGAGGCGTCCCCAAATTTATCCCTCTGCGACTAGTAATGCAACGCCCCACTTAGTTAAAAAATAAACTCATTTGGAGTTGTAGAAAGATCTTCCACCCAATCAAGTACCTACCTCTGGTGACTGGAACCTCGACAAAGACGAACTCGAGGGTCTCTTCACCCCCAAAACCAAGCTACTTGTGCTAAATAACCCCCACAACCCCCTCGGCAAAGTGTTCAAACTTGAAGAACTCCAACACATCGCGGATTTGTGCAAAAAGTGGAACGTTCTATGTATTTCTGACGAAGTCTACGAATGGATTGTCTACAAACCCAACAAACATATACGAATCGGTAGGTTAGTTACGCTGGTGTTACCATGATGACTATTCATTTTAGCTACTCTTCCTGGAATGTGGGACAGGACTATCACTATTGGTTCGGCTGGGAAAACCTTCAGTGTCACTGGGTGGAAGCTAGGATGGGCCTATGGTCCCTCCAATTTGCTCTACAATTTGCAAATGGTCCACCAGAATTCTGTCTATACCGGGAATACACCCATCCAGGTTTGCTCTCACGTTTCCAGAAACACACTCACTGGTTCTGAAGGAAGTTGTAGCTATTGGGTTGGAAAAGGAGCTCGAATGTCTAGATCGGGATGATTGTTATTTTAATTCTATTTCGTCGGAGCTGGTAGTTAAGAGGGACTTTATGGTTAAGGTTTTGAGTGAGGTTGGAATGAAGCCCACGGTTCCAGAAGGTGGTTATTTTATGGTGGCGGACTGGACACCACTGGAGTCCCAGATTGATCTGAGTTCGGAAAAGGATAAATGGAAGGACTATCGTTTTACCAAGTGGATGACCAAGAATCTGGGTTTGCAGGGGATACCACCGTCTGCGTTTTACACCGAGAGGGATAAGAGTCTGGCTGAAAATTTTGTGCGATATTGTTTCTTCAAGGTAGTAAAGAAATAAACACAATTTTGTGTTAAATAATAATTGTTATAGAAACACGAAAATTTGGAAGAGGCTGCCAGAATTTTGAAGAAGTGGAAGTCGTAATATGTATTCAAGGAAAAGTTTTTACCGAAAGTCCTATATTTTTGGAGGAATTTTTATCTACTCTTAAATAATTGATGATTATTATTATTATTAATAAAAAAATTATCGCATCGACAACCCACTATACAAAAGTAATAGACATTTCAAGTAGCTCCCTCTGGTGGCCAGTTCGAAAACTATACATTTTTCAAAATAATGGGTTGTGCTGTGATTCGCTAGTTCCCTTTAGTGATTACATAAACTATTGACTATATCGCAGTAACAAAATTTGATGATGATGTCATCGATTAAGTCATTATCTATTTCAAATTTATACTGGCAGCAACCCACTATACACAAATTTTAGCCTTCCAGGTCGCGCCCTCCATTATCCAGTTCGAAAACTATGTACTCTGTACCGAAGGGACCAAGGGGTTCTTATTTTCAGCATTTTAGTATTATCGATGTTAATTAATTAATTTCTGAGACAAAAACCTGAAATAGTTGCTAATTTGAGCATTAGTTATTTTATCAACTAATCAATGAAAATGTATTACCAACAAAACACATAAATAAACGTTTGTATTGATGAGGCTGATACGTCAGTTTCTCTTCTGCCTGAAGACGGTACTGTGTACCGAAACACCTGTAGCATTGACTACAAATATATTATTTAAACTCTGAAAGTTTTTTCATTATTATTAAAAAAAAAAACATAAATAAACCTCATAGTAAATAAGGTGGATCCACACAACGACAAGCCTTGTTCACACCAAACCAGCAATAACCTCAAAACTTTTTGCAGGTATCACTGGTACAAAACGCCCCCCAGCTACGTTAAAGAAATGACAGAAGTTGTAGTTCCAGGAGTGATCAACATGGCACGTATAAAAAAGCAACCGAAAGTATGAACAAAACGCTGCCATTTTTCGTAATGACTTATTTTTTAATGCGTTTTAGATGAGAAAGTATGATGTCATGGGTGTCGCGACTCAAAGATGAGCCTGTGCTGAGCATCGTTGTATTGCGAATGTGTATGGTGTATGAAATATGTTACGAAAAGGAAGCAGCGAATAAAGAATTTGTTGTAACGATGTATTTTTTTTAATTTGAGGAAAAACAAACTAATATTTATATAGTTGTACTTATCAGTTAGGTGTGGCATTTTCGAGATACTTATCACAATTCTTAATATTTACACATCGCTAGTAAATCTGTAAGTGAAATATCAATAAATCTTAAATTTTAAAACGAGGGTTTACGTAACAAACATTTACTTATGATTTAAGAGCCGATTTTTAAAGTAGCAATTCTAGAAATTTGTTCCTAACCACAATCAAAATAGCTTCGCTGAGATTCTTTCATAATCACATCTGAAGGACTGAACTGTAAAAAAAGTTCTTTTCTTACAGTTTAGTTTAGAATGCGAGCGCAGCGAGCAGATGCAGGCGTTACTAAAAAAAAGCTAAATTATTAAGGAAAAAGAAGAAAAAATTTTGACGTATATAATTCAATATAATACATTCCAAGACAACATGGTCCGTACAAGTACAGACAATATGAAACACATATAAAGAAAACAATTAAAAACAGATAAATCCAAAACCAAAAATTTTATACTATTTTTTTTTCTTCTACATAGAAGACATCTATTTCTTCCTCTTATTTGTTATGTCCACGAGTCCCGAAATACAAAAAAAATGGTATAAAGTAAAAATGGACGAGAATAAAATTATGAACAAAAATTTTATGAATCGAAAAATTGAAAAACCGAAAAATCGAAATCCGAAAAGTAGAAAAATCGAAAGATCGAACATTGGAAACATTAAAAAATTTAAATATGTAAAAATCTAAACAATGAAAAATTCCGAAAATTGAAATATTGAAAAATTGAGAAATCGAAACTTTGAAAAATCGAAAAATAAAAAATTCCAAAGTCAAAAAATTTTTAAAATCGAAAAACCGAATTAGAATCAAAATCGCTCAAATCAATAAACTGAAAAAAAATCGAAAAGTTGAAAAATGGAAGTAACAAAGAACTGAAAAATTGAAAAATCGAGAAATTGAAAAATATAGAACTTAAAAAATTGAAAAAATAATACTGAAAAATTAAAATGTCGAGAAATCGAAATATCAAACTAGCTAAAAGTGAAATTTAACAATAAGAGAATTGAAAAATTGAGGAATTGAACAATCGAAAAATCGAAAGAAACATTGAAATCTCCAGAAATCGAAAAATTGAAACATTGAGGTGTTGGTAAATCGAGAAACCGAGAAATTAAAAAAATTGAAGGATGGAAAAATTGAAAAACCGAACAATTGAAATCCGAATAATTGAGAAAACTAAAGTTTAAAAAGCCAAAAAATTAAAAAATCGAAAAATCGAAAAGCGTAAAATTCTAAAAATCGAAAAACCAAGAAATCAAAAATATCTAAATTTTAAAAATTCTGAAAGTTAATAAATTGAAACATCGAGAAGTCTAAAAATCGAAACGTCAAAAAATTATTAATATTGGGAAACCGAGAAGTCAAGAAATCGAATCAAAAAATCGTCAAATCTAAAAATTAAAAAGTCCAAAACTAAAATTTAAAAAATCGAAAAACTGGAAATCCAAAGAATCATAAAAAGTTGGAAAATCGAAACATCGAGAAACAAAACACCAAAAATTTTCGAGAAATCCAAAAAACAAGAGAAATCGAAATAGCTAAAAATCGATTAATCGAAAATTCGAAAAATTGAAAAATCGAGAAATTGAACAAACCAAAAAATCGAAACGTCGAAATTTCGACAAATTGAAAAATCGAAAAATTGATAATTGAGAAATTGAAAAACCGAAAAATCAAAAAATTGAAAAATAATAAACTGAAAACGTAAGGATTCATAAATCATAAATAGAGACGTGCATAATTTTACAAAATTGAAATAATATTTACTATTGAAATGACGTCGTTCCATTATTGGTGGGGATGAACAAATCTCGGTTAGCGTTTTATCCTCTACATGATGTATCTAACATACATTTGACAACAATCTCTCCGGTAGTGTCGGAGATTACCAGCAAATAAAAATCCGGATAGATGACAGAGAGATAGACGGATACGGGAACTATTTTTTCGTACTTTAGGGGTCATGAAACGTCGAGAATACATGCAAGTAATCAGTTGCCCGATGGACTGTATTACAATATGTCCTTCTCTAGCTTGTCTCGGGTAGAAACTCAACACGGATTCATAAACTAAACGTGCAGGAGCTTGTTATTTTATAAACTAGGTACTGAGGAATGTTGTAGGGATATCAATAATCGTTTGGTGAGTTCCCGCATCGTGACGACACGAACTTTCCCAAAACCTCAACAGTAAACAACTTCAAATATTTCAATAAATTTGTAATAAGTAACACAAATGATAAAAAAAAAACAAGAAAACAGATTATCAATAACTGATAATAAAGCGGTTGGATTGTGACACACCATGAATCGGCTAATAAAAATCCAGACAGGCTAAAACGGGAGACCAATTTTTTTGTAACCTAGGGGTCACGAAACGTCGAGAATAAATGAAAGTACCCAGTCGTCCTTGGCTTGTTTAGATGAAAATTCAACATGGATTGATAGATTAAACGTGCAGGAGCTTGTTATTTTATTAAATAGTTACTAAAGAATGTTGTAGGGATATCAATAATCGTTTGGCGAGTCCCCTCATCGTGATGAAACAGTAAGCAACTTGAAATATTTCAATAAACTTGTAATATATTAAACAAATGATGAAAAAAATCCAAAAACAAGATTATCAACAACTGATAACTAAGTGGTCCTCGTGTGAATCACGTAATTGATGTGAGATTTCTACGAAGGTGGGGCAGAAGGACTCTAGGCATAACTCCGACCGGGCGTCGGGTTAAAAGCAACGTCCACTTCCTGCTGGCGTGTAACACTTAACCTATCTATTAAAACTGATTAGTAGATAAATTAGTACATTAATAGTTATTAGTACAAACGCCAATTCGGCTGTGATAAAAACAGAGACTGGTAAAAAAAGGTATGGTGCAATTTGGAAGTTATCATGGATGCTGAAAACCCTTGTGAGGTATGTACCTACTAAAAATACTAGATAGTTTTTTTGCTAATTGAGTCTCATTTTAACGTGGTTGGGACGGGGCTATTAATTGTTCGCTATCAGTTCGATTTAAATATTTATAGGGATTTTCTTTTCTAGCTTGAAGTACTTGTAAATAGTAATGATGGAAACACTCCACAAACCGAAACACGAATAGACTTCCCGAAAAGCGAGTCCCTCACTTTTAGAGAGCAAGTCATCCAAAACAAGATCCAAGTGAGTCTTTTGAAGCGTTCTGACGTGAATAGCCTTGACGGCAATGTGTTAAAAAAACCGATTTTATTACTCGCTTGTGAAGAAAAAGATGAATTTAAAACAGTGAACCATGAGACCGTCAAACTCCTCCTGGAAAAAGGTGCTAAAGCTGACTACGTTGACACAACATGGTACGGATGGGAGGCTTTACATTACGCAGCATATGCCTCAAACCCTGATAAATTACAAGCACTATGTGATAAACTCGGTGAAGATAGAATTAACACTTTGACCATGTTATCAGAAAATGCTCTTCACGTTTTGCTTGAGCATGGAACCTTAAGTCAAAGTTTTAACCTGTCGTGCCAGAATGGAACGGACACAAAGATGGCGAAAATCATCAACAAAGAAGAAGAAAACGTGACTAAAAGTGCTCAAATTTTGATTGACGCTAAGATTGATATCAACCATACGAACTTCTGGAACCAAACTCCTATTTTGATAGCTATCAAACGTAGATATTTTGGCGTGGTGAAGTTGTTACTGGAGAAAAGTAAAATAGATTTGGATTCTTGTAAAGACGCGGTTTCTGGAAAGACGGCCCGAGAACTGTTGGAAGGGAAAGAAGAGTTGGGGAAACTATCAACACGTTTGGGTTCAAGATCAACCAAAGAGATTCTTTTTTCGTTCTTAAAATCCGGCGATGAAGATAACTTCTTGGAATACAATGGTGGAAAAATTAATGACATTAATAACTACTGGGATGGTGACAACGCACACAACTCTAGTTGTACTTTGTTACAATACTGTTTTCGCAGAGGTTTGATCTTCTGGTATAAAGATAAAGCGAGCAATGATTGTGACCAGAATGGTCAAGATATCAAATCCAATCGTCTAATGAATGTTTTTTGTAAAAGTGGAATGGGAAGATCTATCCAACATTTGATAAATAATGGAGCTAATCCCGATACCACATTACGAAAGTTTGAACAAGGTCATTCCGTCCTGGAAGCAGCTATCATCAAAGGGTACTACCCTATGGTAGCACTCATTTTAAGCAAACCCGAAGCTAAACCACCACCATACAATAAAATATGTGCCTCTTTATTCGAACTACTTAAAAATCACTCTCGTAGCATCGATTTGAACAATACTTTTACAGTAGTTTTGAACTGGTTGCTCGACCAGTTTAACACCCTCAGAGCAAATGAAAAAAAACTTAATACCAACGATCCAGACGCAGTACTAGACAAAAGTTTCCAAAACTTGTATGAAACAATAGAACCTCAATTATTCGACTTGTTTAAGTTTGGTGCGAAAATCATCAGTATAGAAAACCAACTTCTCTTGCTAAAATTCCCGAATTCGTTGTGTTGGACTAATGAAGATGGAAACACCGACAGTAAGACGACGTGGTGGTGCTGTACAAACTCCCAAAGTACCCACTGGAATATCTGTTCCTCTAAGTCAGACAAAAAGTTAGTTATAGAAGAGATAGATCCAGAAGTCCTGTACAACCATCTGGACGACTGTGTGGAGCAAGAGGGGACAGATGTAAAAATCAATTGTGAGAGTTTTCTCAAAGATGGTTCTATTTACCCAGTTTTTGACACTTTTTTGTCGTCTAAGAAATTCAAAGGGAGTCTCAATCACCTGGTTTTCAAAATTTTAATTATGCGACATTGGGAAACTTTGAACTTTAAAATATTACCTTATCCGGTTAAATACATCCACTTAAACCTAGTTTTCTATGGAATCATTTACTTTCTATTACATCTGGACGTTCTGTACAGATTTAATGGAGTTTCTTATCGTTATCTTTCAGCTTTCCTGTGGATCTTTTTAGGGACTTTCATCCTAAAAGAACTTCTACAGATGATAGCCAACTTTAAATTATATTGGCAAGGAACTAGTAATTATTTCGAGGTTATATTCATCGTTTCTGTATTTTTTATGTACATTTTTGACAAAAACTCGATTGACGCTTTTCGGGTATTGTCAGTTTTGAGCTCAAACGTGGTCCTTTTTTTCCTACTAGAGAACGTTCCAGCTTGCTCCGAATATGTTAGTATATTCCGAAAGATCGGTTTATATCTTAAAACCTTACTTTTCTTTTTCATCCAGCTCCTGGGTTTTGCCATCTCTTTCTATATACTTTTTTCCAAAAAGGACCAAGTCTGGTCAACCGAGATGCTAAACAAGATTTTCGAGATGCTAATTCTGTTAGCTGGAAATCTGGACTATAAGGAGATTTCTTTGAACCAGGAAAATAAGAATTGTAACAATGGTACAAACCAAACTCTCTACCACGACTTCCCCCACAAGGAACATTTTTCAAAATTTATTTTCATCCTATTCGTACTCTTCCTGTTTCTTGGTTTGCGCGTTATCGACAAGAACGATCTTCAGAAAGACTCCTTGTCAGAGCAAGTCAACAGGGCCGGTTTCGTACTCCGGATGCACATTTTCTTCAAAAGTAACACCAATTTGGCATGGATGTTCTGCTACTCGGACTTGATACTCGAGTCAAAAATAACCGTAGATGATAACGACAGGAAAATACTGACCAAAGAAGAAAAGCAAAATTTCGACTTCATGTCGACAAAAAAGACGAAAAGACCCAATATTTTGAAGAAGCTGCGCAACTACGTGAAGATGAAAACGAATGCGGAATGAGAGGAAGAAGTAAGTTTTTGTCAAGGCAGTGATAGAACAAATCGTCAAAAATTTGTATAGAATGCAAGAAATGAAAATGTGAAAAATTGTTGAATTTTGAGGCTTTAATTATGTTTTTGTAACACGGTGCCAATGATTTGTAATTATTTTATATGAAATACAGTTTTATCGAAACGTAGTGTTTTAACTTTTTAAGTCGTTTTTACTTCCCGAGCGTAAGCAAAGGAAATATTGTAATCGAGTCCGTCTTCCGACTCTCTACTTTTACGTTTTCTCGGCCTTTCATGACCCCTAGAGGACGAAGAAATAGGTCTCTCGTTTCGGTCTGTCTGTCCGTCTGTCCGCCTGTCCGTCTGTCCGTCTGTCCGTATGTCTGCCGTCCCGGATTTTTATTAGACAGATAATTTCCGAAAGTACTGGACCGATTGTTGCGAAATTTTGTATTTGTATTAGGAATATCGTGTAGATGGTAAAACGCTAACCAAAATTTGTCTAATCACCCTCACCACTAATGCGATGACGTCAGTTCAAAATTGTACATAGTAAATGGGTTTTAAATTGTATAAAATAACATAGTCGTACACTTGTAGTTTATGACTCCGAATTGAGTTTTTACCAGAAACGTCCAGATTTTTGGAAAAAAAAAATCTAAATTATGAAACAATATTTTGCAATTTAATTTTAAATCTGCAAAACCGAATGCTTTGAAATCTTGCAGATGGTTTACAGTTATGACAAGTACGATACATTTTTAATCAAAATATATTTATTAAATTTTAAAATGTACAAAATGTGATGATTCTGTAGTTGTGATATATCATTCCATTCATATTTTTTGGATTTGCATATACAAGGTGACTCAAAAAAATTAATGAATATGTGAATTTATTTTATTGATTTAATCAGGAACTACAAAACCGAATACTTTGAAATCTTGGAGATGTTTTAAATTTATCATAAGCATGGTAAAATTTTGATCGAATTATTTTTGCTCATCCCCCCTAAAAATTTGATGATGCCACCGCAAAATTTTGCTGAAAAAACGCTTAAATGTGTAAAGAATGATGATTCTACACTTGTGATTTATCACCGCATTAATATTTTTTAGATTATAGATTTTAAATATGATTTATTCGGCAAATTTTCGAGCTGACTTCATCAAGTTTTTGGAGGGGATAAGCAAATATATTTTGACTAAACATTTATTATGCTCTTTATGACCTTAAAACATCTGCAAGATTTCAGAGCATTCGGTTTTGTAGTTCCTGATTAAATCAATAAAATATATTTACGCATTCATTAATTTTTTTGAGTCACCCTGTATATGCAAATCCAAAAAATATGAATGGAGTGATAGACCACAAGTACAGACTCATCATATTTTGTACATTTTAGATTTGATTTATTCCACAAACTTTTGAGCTGACGTCATCAAGTTTTTGGAGGGGATAAGCAAATATTTTTTGACTAAAGATTTATGATGCTCTTTATAGCCTTAAAACATCTGCAACATTTCAAAGCATTCTGGTTAGCAGATTAAAAATTAAATTTCAAAATGTTGTTTTATAATTTTGATTTTTTTTCCAAAAATCTGGACGTTTCGGGTGAAAAGTCGATTCAGAGTTGTAAACTACATGTGTAGGACTATGTTATTTTATACAATTGAAAACCCATTTACTATGTACAATTTTGAAGTGACGTCATCGCATTAGTGGTGGGGATGATTAGACAAATTTTGGTTAGCGTTTTACCATCTACATGATATTCTTAATATAAGTACAAAATTTCACAACAATCGGTCGAGTACTTTCGGAGATTATCTGTCTAATAAAAATCCGGGACGGCAGACGGACAGACAGACGGACGGACAGACGGACGGACAGACGGACAGACAGACGGAAATGGGAGACCTATTTCTTCGTCTTCTAGGGGTCATGAAAGATCGAGAAAACGTAAAAGTAGATAGTCGGCCGACGGACTCGATTACAATACTTCGTTTGCTTACGCTCGGGAAGTAAATAATCCACGAGATGAATTGTAATTTTTTGAAGAAGCTGGGCCCTGATGCTTTTTACTTCCCGAGCGTAAGCAAAGGAAGTATTGTAATCGAGTCCGTCGGCCGACTCTCTACTTTTACGTTTTCTCGATCTTTCATGACCCCTAGAAGACGAAGAAATAGGTCTCCCATTTCCGTCTGTCTGTCCGTCTGTCCGTCTGTCCGTCCGTCTGTCCGTCTGTCCGTCTGTCCCTCTGTCCGTCCGTCTGTCCGTCTGTCCGTCTGTTGTCCCGGATTTTTATTAGACAGATAATCTCCGAAAGTACTCGACCGATTGTTGTGAAATTTTGTACTTATATTAAGAATATCATGTAGATGGTAAAACGCTAACCAAAATTTGTCTAATCATCCCCACCACTAATGCGATGACGTCACTTCAAAATTGTACATAGTAAATGGGTCTTCAATTGTATAAAATAACATAGTCCTACACATGTAGTTTACAACTCTGAATCGACTTTTCACCCGAAACGTCCAGATTTTTGGAAAAAAAATCAAAATTATAAAACAATATTTTGAAATTTAATTTTTAATCTGCTAACCAGAATGCTTTGAAATGTTGCAGATGTTTTAAGGCTATAAAGAGCATCATAAATCTTTAGTCAAAAAATATTTGCTTATCTCCTCCAAAAACTTGATGACGTCAGCTCAAAAGTTTGTGGAATAAATCATATCTAAAATGTACAAAATATGATGAGTCTGTACTTGTGATCTATCACTCCATTTATATTTTTTGGATTTGCATATACAGGGTGACTCAAAAAAATTAATGAATGCGTAAATATATTTTATTGATTTAATCAGGAACTACAAAACCGAATGCTCTGAAATCTTGCAGATGTTTTAAGGTCATAAAGAGCATAATAAATGTTTAGTCAAAATATATTTGCTTATCCCCTCCAAAAACTTGATGACGTCAGCTCGAAAATTTGCCGAATAAATCATATCTAAAATGTACAAAATATGATCAGTCTGTACTTGTGATCTATCACTCCATTCATATTTTTTGGATTTGCATATACAAGGTGATTCAAGAAAATAAATGAAAGCGTAAATTTATTTTACTGATTTACTCAGGAACTACAAAACCGAATGCTTCGAAATCTTGAAGATATTTTAAAATTATCATAAGCATGGTAAATTTTTGATGAAAACGTATTTGGTCGTCCCCCCTAAAAAATTTATGATGTCACCACAAAATTTTGCTGAATAAATCCTATCTAAAATGTACAAAATATGGTGAGTCTCTTCTTGTGATTTATCATTCCATTCAAATTTTTTCGATTTGCATATACAGGGTGACTCAAAAAAATTAATGAATGCGTAAATTTATTTTATTGATTTAATCAGGAACTACAAAACCGAATGCTTTGAAATCTTGCAGATGTTGTAAGGTTATAAAGAGCATAATAAATTTTTAGTCAAAATATATTTGGTTATCTTCTACAAAAAACTGATGACGTCAGCTCAAAAGTTTGCCGAATAAATCGTATCTAAAATGTACAAAATATGATGAGTCTGTACTTGTGATTTATCATTCCATTCATATTTTTGGATTTGCATATGCAGGGTGACTCAAAAAAATTAATGAAGGCGTGAATTTATTTTATCGATTTAATCAGGAATTACAAAACCGAATGCTTTGAAATCTTGGGAATATTTTAAAGTTATTATAAGCATGGTAAACTTTTGTTCAAAATGTATTTGTTCATCCCTCCTAAAAAAATTGATGACGTCACCCTTAAATTTTGCTGAATAAATCCTATCTAAAATGCAAAAAATATGATGAGTTTGTACTTGTGATTTATCATTCCATTCATATTTTTTAGATTTTCTTAAGAGGTGGTTCAAAAAAATTTATGAAGTCAATTTATTTTATTGATTAAATTAAAGGCAACACTTATTATTAGTATTACATTGCACCAACCCAATTTGGTAGACACAAAATTTGTTAAAGGAAAAACTCGGTTGAAACATAAGAGTAGCACGCTTATTTACATCGACTTTAACATTACAGACCTGCATTTGTTTTATGCGGTCACTTGGTTCCGCGAATGCGAAATAGACATGTTTATAATCAACCAATTGTGAATTTCACCGTCAAGAATTAAAATAAAACGCAATGTTTTATATAATAAGCGGAAGTCGAAGCAATAAAACCGATGGTCGTTTTGTTTACAGTTTCTCTGTTTGGCTCTCACGTATGCTGTTACGCTTGTCATCTTAAATTAAGAATGTTTATACATAAACGATTTTCAGTTGCCACTCATATTACTAGACAGCGGATTTCTGTCGGGCTACGTCACGATTATAGGGGGGGACGTGCTGGATTCCATAAATATAATTAACGATTTATTAATCAAACGGCTTAGTAAATGAGAACGGGAATTAACAGCAGAGTGCAACGAAACAACGTTATTCTAATCTCAAATAAACGAAGTGCAGTCCGCAACGGCAATGAATTCGCATCCCGTGCGAGCCGTACCGAGTTTGGCCTTGCCTAGCCCGACAGAAATCCGCTCTCTAGATATTACACACCGGCGCCGTATACGTGAGTAAATTGTTTCGTTATTTTATTGATTATAAGAAATCAATATTCAAAACGACCCAATTCATTTTCCCGAAAATTTGGGAACACAATAATTTTATTCTTAGTATTACACTACATCTATCCCAACTGATATACGTGTCCTTGCAAAAATGTTGATGACGTCATCACAATTTTTTTTTAAATTCCCACTACAAAAATGTAATGAGAAAAAAAACATAATAGGCATGCAGTCGTCAAGTTTCCGACAGCGAGGGAAGTACTGTCTACTCTTTAGACCAATTTTTTGAATATACTTTTCGATGATTATTCTTTTGTGAATGTCCAAGTACCAATGACGAAAGAGATTGTCACGTAGGATACAGGGAAATGCTACCTGTGTACATATCCGAATGCGCATTTGCAGACGATATATTAATATTCGCGGGAAGCGAAAGAGACTTACAAAGGAATTTAAGTATATGGGATGAAGAACTAACTAGAAAGAAAATGAAAATAAATGTAGAGAAAACGAAAGTAATAGCAATAGGTAAGCAAACAAAACAAATAAACATAAGTATAAATGGAAGG